TAAATCATTGCTCTACTAGGAAAGGATCTACAGCTGTGGGCCCCCGCGGGTGGTTCACATATATATATTTTGACCCATGGGTGGTTTGCATACTATCTTGACCCGGCCCAAACCCAACGGGCTGGGTTGCAAAACCTGAAAAACCCGGCCCAACCCGCGGGCCTAACAAGTCTAGTGAGTGCTATATCTGCAGATTCTTTAAACAAGACTATATCTGCTATATCTAATATATTAATTACTCTAGATCCTATATAGCAGACTATCTAAAGTGCTCTGCTAGATTATAAGTATAAAAGAGCACTGTTATCTGTCTCTCCTAAGATACTCTAGCTGCTATTTATAAAGCTGGCTAGCTTATCTTTTAATAATAATAAGTTAAATAATCCTCTACTAATTAATTTACTAGTCTATACTCTTTAGACTATCTACTAGCCTAGCTTTCTAATCTATTACTAAGCTAACTATTAAGCTAGCTTTTCTAAGTATTTACTAGCTAAGCTCTCTCTTAGCCAGAACTATAAAAATAATTTAGGCTAATATTAGAAGAGATAACACTGCCTATAATCTACTACTATTATTTAAGATAGATATTATTCTTATTCAGGAATCTTAAATAAATAAAATAAATTATTAGATAAAAATATATCTTTACTACTAATTTTTTAGTCCTACTATATACTGGAAGACCAGACCTAGAGCTTTAATATATATATACTGGAATCTCCCAGTATACTTATTCTCTCAGCCTGTCTTATCTAATATTGCAGCTGTCTATACAGCAGGCCTTACTATTATTAATATCTATTATTATTTATATAATCCAGTTATCTTAGTCTAATCTAGATTAACTTTATTAACTCTCTATATACTACTTTAATACTCTTCTCTATAGAATATTATTCTAGCAGAGAATTTTAATACTTACTATCTTCTTTAATAGCTAGATATTAGGCTATAATTAATCTTAGCTAGCTTAGCAGATTTAATAAAGTAACTTAAAATCTATAAGCTAGTACTTTATTTTAAGTCAGATACTCTTATCTATAGATATAATATCTTAGACTTTATTTTTTTAAATCTGTCTATAAAAACTATAGTTAAAGACTATCTAAGTATCTCAAGTAATTATATAACTATCTTAATAATAGTAAACTAGAATAAATCTTTATCCTATCTAAAACTAGGCTATACTAACTAGAAGAAGACTAGGACTATTCTAATCCCACTATTTCTAAGTCTTTCTATTAATATACTGGCAGAGAAGCTTATTAGTAGAGTATAGCTAGTAATTTATAATATATTAGAATATAATATTTATAGACTTCTATAAATTCCTTAGTAAACTCCAGAACTTATTATTCTATTATAATAAATATAGTAGCAATAAATCCTAGACTATATTTTACTTTAGAAAGTAGTCTTCTATATAAAAGTTAATTACTAGAAAAAGTAGATTAATTAAGCTATATTATCTATTAATATCTTTATTTTTATAAAGTAATATAAATATTTAGATTAGCTTATTATTTCCTTTCTAAATATCTAGAATATCTAGATTATAACTCTATAAGATAAGATAAATATCTTTCTCTTATATCTTTTAAAAAAGAAAGTCTCTTTTCTAGATTAGTAAAAAAAAGACTTTTCTACTAAATCTCTAGATTTACTAGATTTTCTATTTAAAGAAGACTACTAGTCTATTCTCTATATCTCTACTTTATTTACTTCTAGAGAGAATAAACTTATTACTATAGTCTAGAGAGAGCTCTAGTCTATTCTAGATAACTTAATTACTCTACTCTACTGCCACTATCTACAAGAAGACTGCTATCTATATATTCTTAAGACTATAAAAATTATAATACTATTAAAGTTAGACAAGAGAGATCTTATTTAGTCAAGTATCTAATATTCTATTAGTCTATTATCTATCTTAAATAAGAGTCTTGAACAGCTTCTTATACAGTATATAGCTATATAGATAATTCAGGTAAAGCTACTATTACTCTATTACTTCAGTATACTTCCAGACTGCTTTATAATAAATCTAGTCCAGGTCCTTATTTACAGGATAGAGAAAACTTTCTAAATAGAAAAGATTACTTTACTACTATTACTAGATATAAAAGAGATCTTTAATACTGTAATTTATTAATAGCTGCTTTTCTAACTATATCTATAAAAATAGAATAATAATCTAATCTAGCTAATCTAGAATTAGCTATTAGACTATTTAGTCTTAATATAGATTAGGAATACTATAGTAATAGACTTATTAAAGAAAGATCTACTATAGAGATCTTTTCTCTCTCTAATTCTCTTTTTATTATATATAGTAATAGTATTTACTGCCTATAAAGAGTTCTTTAATTATATAGATAATCTAGAACTATTATTTATTAAATATATCTTTAAAAAGATCTTCTAGTAGCTTATTAAAACTTATCAGTTAATTACTATATTCAGTACAGAATCAGGTCTTTTCTTTTCTTTAGAAAAGATAGAGATATAGTACTTCTCTAAATAATAGAACTAGTCTCTCTTTACTATTCTTCTTTTAAGACTAGATATAGTTAAACTATCTAGTTATATCTACTAGCTAGAGATTCTACTAGATACTAAGCTTATCTTTAGACTATATATAAACTATATCTTTAGCCAGAACAAGTAGCTAGCACAGTATCTTTAAAGATTAAGTAATATTTAATAAGATTATCCAGTTATCTCTATATAAGCAGTAGTTATATAATATATTATACTGACAGTACTTTATAGAGTAAAAGTATTCTATACTGGTATTAAATAATAATAGATTATTAATTTTCTATATTTCTTATTCTGCTTAGCTACCTTAACTATTCTCTCTATCTATAAATTATTATCTACTGCAGTACTATTTTATAAGATAGATCTGTCTAATCTAAAAGCTCTACTTAACAGTATTCTCTAGAGAATATATATTAGATATATAAGCTTAGATACTGAATATCTAATTATATATATAGCAGATAAAACTGGATCTAAATTTAAAACTAGACTTAATACTATACTCTAATATATCTCTATTTCTGTATTAGAATATATTTAAATAGAGATATCTCTTCTGCTATTATCTATACTTCTAATATTCTGTAAAGAATATACTCCTGTATTACTGTAAATATTAGTTTATTCAGATAGCTTATAAACAGAATATAGCACTGATTATAGATATATAGTATACTATAGCTCTATTCTTTTTATCTAGGGATCTGGCCCTGCCAGCCTGAAAACTAAGATCTATAATATAGAGCTTATAAATATAGTAAAGAGTCTCTAAGCTATAATTAGACAGCTATATATTTAATATACTATCTACTTAACTATCTTACTTAATAATCTAGCGGCAGCCAGTCTTCTTATATATAATAGACTAATTTCTTATTAGTACAGACTTACAGATATCTTCTGACAGCTCTTAATATAATAAAAGAAAGCCTTATCTCTTCTAGACTTATTATATAAGTCTCTAGAGATATACTAGATTCCAGGCCACTTAGAAATAGCAGAAAATAAACTTATAGACTAACTTACTAAATAAAATATAATAATTAATAGTTTCTATATTCTTTTCTCTTTATCTTATCTTAGATAGAAGATAAAACAGTAACTCTATATAGACTTTTTAGTAATATATATAAAGACTATACTACAGATCTATTATAATCTGAATATTAGGCTCTATATAAAGAGTAGTTATTTTTAGAAATATAGTTTTCTCTACTAGATTCTAGACCAGCTAATAGCTGCCTGTACAGGCTATAAAAACTTTATAGTATATTATAAAAAATACTATTATCTAGACTATCTAGTAATCTACTCCTGTAGCAGGCTAAAGTCTTTTACTTACTTTTTCTTCTATCTATATATCAGGAAGCACTAGAGAGATAGATAGAAGTATCTAAAGACTAGTCTATTAAAGATAATTAACTAGCTCTTTAGTATAGCTACTAGAACTAAAGAGTTTAGCTATATTATATAAGTTTTATTCTTTTTTAAGGATATATATCTAAACTGGGCCTGTCTAAGTACTAAATAGTATAACAGTCTATACTTCTACCTGGATAGAGATAGACAGCATCCCTTTCTATCTATAGATAGCTAAAGCAGGTTTCTAAGTCTAGAAGACCTGGCCAGAATAGTACCAGGCACTTCTTTCACTCTTCTCTAATATATAGTGTTCAGATTTGCTGCTTCAAGCATGTACTTAGCTAGTTCCTAGTGAGATTTCTGTTTAGGCAGCACGTCCAGTTGCCCCTAGGGAGGCCGCGGATCACGTTGCCACGTGACCCGCCGAGTGACGTTAAATAGTAGCCATAGCCATAGCCATAGCCCCTGAAGGCTTTACCTACTAGTGATTAGTTGAAAGAGAGAAGAAGAAGCAGTCAAGATAATTGATATAGTCGTCCATAGAATTGAGCATCTACCGGAATGGCATCCGGTCCTCAGTAGGCTACGTACGTGTAGCTGATACAGCCTCATCCTGCCCATCTTTCCCCTGAGATCACAACATCTATCAACTGTACCTTCGGCGAATCTAGGCTCTGCTGTTTGCGATTGTCATACATCTTCGAAAGAGATCTGTGGGTTCTCGTTTTCCGTTCGTCTTTATCAATTTAGAGCCTAGGAAGGCATCTGATCGCGTAGACTGGAAAAGAATTAGGGGTGCAAACACAAACGGCACAGGACCCAGCCATCCAATCAACGACAGAGAGCTCGATGATGCAGTAGCGACCCTTATTTCATGCACTACCACAACGATAGACCAGCACACACCGATATCTAAACCATCGCATTATTCTAGGCGATAGTTCTCCTAAGGACTGAAGACACAGCAATGTGAAGCCAGGAAAGCGCGCCGGAGATAACAGGAAGGAAACGCTGAAAGAGGACGTTATGATCCAGTATCACTAGCCCTATTCAAGAAAATGGGGCTGAAATGCAGAACTTGGACAAGAGCTATCGAAAAGGCGAAAGCAAACCACTGGAAAGAGTTTATAAATAAGGCCGGAGAGAGCCATCTCTGGAAGGCAGCGTCCTACATGCGCCCGCGAGAATTGTACGATACCATCCGGCTATTGAAACACGAACCAGAAGAGATAGCAGTTCTTCCCTTAGATAGAACCCCGGAAAATGATATAGATATAGAAGAGAAGGAAGAGATCATGTGAGCACCAATCACAGAGTAAGAAGTCTACTGCGTCTATTTTCGCCAAAGCGATAAAAGCGTCGGGAGAGAATAGGCTCCCGGTACTGGTATAGAAGCAGCTACAGCAATACCTTAGCAAAGAGATCCTTTAGATCTTTACTGTGTTAATTAATCTTAGCTATTACCCGCGATAGAGGAAACGGGCGAATTATAGTACTCCGGAAACTGGGAAAGCCTAACTATACCGCCGCTGAAGTATGTAGACTGATTCCTCTCTTATATATACTAAAGAAGGTCCTTGAAGCTGTTATAGTCAATCGCCTAACCCACAAGGGGTGGTGATAGTATCATAGGTATAGTTCTTCTCAATAAGTCTGCGTAATCAGCATATTTTTCAGGAACTGCCTCATCATACCTACTGCGTTAAAATATCTATTTTTTCAGCATTTTTAGTAGAATAGCTGTAACATTGAAATATATGATATATTAATAACTGAAAAACATAAATATATAAAGAGAAATAGCAAAACCAAATTTAAGTATTTAGTTTACCAGCCCCTAACCTGAATAACCGTCTTGAGACGCCTGCCCATACTACCTATTATATTTTTTGTGATATCCAGGCGAATTGAGCTCAAGGACTGTTCTAGCACTCCCAATGGATAATTCTTTTTCTTATCAAAACCATTGCAGTTTTTATTATTAGGATTATTATATATACGCCTTCTTTGAGAGGAAATTATATATACTTGATAGGGTTACGATCAGGCGAGTATGGCAAGTATTCTATATGTTTTATGCTATTGTTGAGCTTCTGGGCTTTTTGATCGTAGACACCAACGAAAACTTTCCGGAGCACATTTTCAATGCATCGCGGGTCTTCTGCTTTTAAAATACAGCGAGAACACTCACTAGAAGATAGTCCATATCTTTTTTCTTAGTAAACGCCTTAGCACTCTTCCTCGCTGTTAAGCGTCCTAGCGTCAAACGTAATAGGTGATATCTATTGAATATGCCCAAGGAATTACCTAGCATCGCAGGCACCTGACATACGCCTGGTGAATTGACCACCTGCGGAAGTATGTGGATGGTTGAATACTATGGTGATTAGGCCACCTATAAAAGGCCTCATGATTCCCACCTAAATAGGCCCTTCTAGATAGTTTGATAGGGATCTTGAAAATCTGATCATTTTGATATCGTATCATACGAATATCTTTCCAGATACTCTACAATATCTCGCAGGGAAATATGTCCACAAATCAGTCCACTATAGAAACACCACAGTGGTCATTTGTATCGATCCCGCAGTCTGTTGTAGCCTCTCTAGGACTTCGCCATACATCATACCATGTACGTAGCACGCCCCAATGACGTGGAACATTCCAGGCCTATCTGGAATACGCCTAATAACGAGTGGAGTCTGAACTGTAGGAATAATACATATCTGATCTCCAGGTTCGACTAAGGGTGAGCCCGTGCCGCTATAGTGCCAAAACCTACATTAGTAGGGTATTGGCGAAATAAACAAGGAAGGGGATAGATGAGGTGGCATACATGTAGCCTTTCATTGTAATAAAAAACCTTTCTCCATTAATATGATTTGCCGCCCGCTGCAGGAATGGGATGTAGCGTGCCTTGGGGCCCGAACTGTACTGTTTGAGCCACCCGGAATCACGGAGATGAGCCAGTATAGAGCCGCAGTAGTTGCCACAGTACTCTATGAAGCTTCGGGCAATGCTCAGGTCATCATCCTTGTCGCAGATTCCAAGAAGCGTGCTGGCCAATGCGAGTGCCATATCCGGATAAGCGAGGCTGCTCTGCTTCTCAAACTCCCGAAGAAGGGACCAGTATCGTTCGGCAAGGCTAGGATTCTCACTTAGTAGCTCCTCTGCGTTACGGTAATTTGGTTCTCTATCCCAAGCCTCCTTCATTTTGCTCTCAGGGGGTATATCGGCGACTTCACCACAAGAGAGGATAGTCTCAATGAGGAACACGCGGAGTTTTAGCCGAGACCTGTCCACTTCCTTGGTAGACAAGCCTTGGAAAGACGTGAAAGTACCTCGGTCCGCAGCATACCTACCGTTTATGGTCCAGGCTCGACGAGTATCCAAACGAGGGCACCACGAGGGACCTTGACTATTCAGGTCCTTAGATGAGCAGTTCCACACTAATCCCAGGAACCGATGTGAGCGGGTGCTCAGTTGAGAGAACAAACGAAGCCGCAGTTCAGTTAGGTCTATGGTGTAGTCAGCTTCCAGTAAGAGATTGCCAGTTCTTGGCTTAGCGAGAGGGTGGCCAAGGAAGGCATAGACGTAGTCTCTATGGTCAGTCGCCCTCTGAATATGTCGAGCCCTGAATAACACATCTTCAAATTCGCTGTTCGACGTGTCCGTATGCCGCGAGATGGTCGTAAGGATGTACGAATCCCGAAACCAGGAGTTGTGGGCGTCTGTGTACGAAACCCAAACGGAGTTGAAAAGATCAGAAATGTATCCAGACTTGAAGGAAATGTCTGGGAAGTGCCTCCCAGTCCTCGCCCAGGCCTGTGCAAATTCCATGATCTTGGTGAAGTCAATCACGGAAGTTCCATAAGCAAGAAAGGCTTTCTTCGCAAGGCCGATTTCCTGGAGGATCCAGACGCGCTGGAACCAGGACTGCTCAAATATCGGAACCACATGTTGCAGACGCTCAGAGGTAATAGTACCATAGCCCCCATCCGGCTGCCACCATTCTCCAGTACGAATCCGCTCCTCTGACAGATACTTCGCAGCGAGGAGATTATAATCCTCAATGACTTGGAATGCGATTCTTGCTGCTTCTCCGTTCTTGCCGTCGTCGCCAAACGAGACGATAACTTGTTCAGCCTGGGAATAAATTTCACCCATCATATTAACTTGGAGCGCCTTTTCTTGTAGGTCTAATTGGTTGATACAGAGGGCATCGGCCCATATGCGTCTCGGTTCGCTTGTTCGCCTTACCTGACGCAACGCCAAGTAGAGATTGGCCGTGACATTGAGTGAATAGCCCTGGCAATTAATCTGTCTGATATTTCTGGGGTTGCCCCAGACATATGAAATTGCTTCATAGGCTGTACCCGTGCTCAGTTTAGTATTAGCCAGCCAGGCTCCCTAATGGAGGATAACGAGGATCTTACAGTCACGTCCAATTTGACTAGTGACAAGAGTAGCGCTGATCACATCCTGATCCCAAGGGCCTGGCTCAAGGATGAGAAGCCGCGTCCATTTTCCTGCAGGCAAGGGAGAATACAGGGGATGTTGACCATTTGTCGACATGGTGCTCTTATCATTGATACCGTACTCGTGATTGTGGAAGGACAACGTTACTAGTGCGGGGAAACGAAACAATTTATATGCAACATGCTCTCTAGCCACAGCCACGCTATTAGCAAATCCCATTCCTGCTCGTATTCCCCTTCTTCATCAAAAATAAATGTTACCCTTGTGTGAATAGCCGAGAAATCCATGGAAAAATCCACCAATATATATACTGTTAAGGCACTATGTGGAGATCATTCTCATCCAAAATCATGATCCTTATTCCTACTATCTACAGCTATATTTACCACTAACACCTAAACGCTTGTCGGCCAGATCATCCTACTAGCCGATCCAATCAGGAACGCTAGCCCGAATCCCTAGCCAACATATATATCCATCTGCTCGGTCCCTCGTTTCGTTGGAGTACATCCTTCTCAGGCAACGGAGAAAGGAGAATATAATACAAAATCACATAGAATGCGCAATGGATGGCTTCTAATTCAGGTTGTATTTAGGCTACGGCATATTCGCGTTTGCGTAATTCCCACTAGATTAACTACATCTAGGGTTTCATTTGAGGTACATCACTCTGAGTGAGCTTTGCAATTATCGGTCATTTATGCCCGTTCTGGTGGTAACAGAGCTACCTCCCTCTGTTCAACTATCTTTTTAAGTATTCTGTAGGAAATACCTAAGAGAGATTGATGCCTTTCACTTTTGAAGGTTATTCCCGATATTTGAGATTAAGTCTAAAGTAGTAGGGTTGCCAGTCATTTCGGTATTTGTAGCTGTTGTGAATTGAGGCCCCAACAGGTATACTATAGAAGTTTACCTGGTGGAGCCTCAATTCACAACATTCCCTCTTAAGATCTCTGTGCTAGCACTGTGATACTGCACTTGTGAGTATCGACTAGGCCTCGGTAAAATCACTGAAAACTCTGCTTGGGAAAAACGAGTGGAGAGCGCCCTCGTTCGATCTTGCTACTTTCCCCAACTTTTGTGCGGACCCTTCCAGGCCAATAAATTTATAGAAGCTTGAACAGTCGAGCAGCCCCAATGTATACATATTAAATGATATCAAACGATCTGAATTTATGATCCATATTCAATTACCTTGAGGGCCTGTCTAGGTGGGAATCATGAGGTCTTTTATAGGTGGCCTGATCACCAAGCATATGTCAGGTGCCTGCGATACTAGGTAATTTCATGGGCGTATTATATAACGTCTAGAATAAAGGTCATGAATGTTTCTAGCAATATCCGTATACGGAGATATGTGCGTCAGGCCTCGTGGCTCGTGTATATAATCTAGCTTGAATGGTTTGTTGGTCATGATATGAGCCCACCGTCAAATTACTCGCACATCGTGATTCCTTCTTGTTTCAATGATCTAGACTCGAGGGACATGGTCCTCTTGTAACCCCTGGGGGATTGACTCATCAGACTGCTGGACATGCCCTTAATGAGGCTATAGCAACTGTTATCATTTACTCCTGGGAATGACTCAGAACGTTGAATAAGACGGGAATTGCCGCGGGCTGGAAGACCTGGTACTCAGGGTTGATGTGATGTACATGCCGACTAGCTGACAGTGGCGGCAACCCTTAGCTACCCTGACAACATAAATGCACGTCGCTTTGGGTTTAATAGAACTTTGAAGCAGCAGCAGTATGCCTCAGGACATTTGCGGCAGAAGACACATGTAACTCCTTAGTAAGTATTTACACAATAACTACGCTACTACCCCCAATTCCCCCCTTCTTTTTCTTCTCTCCTCCTCACAATTCAGTTGTTTTCCAAACAGTCCTGCACCGACCAGGAAGCATAAGATCGCTCCTATATCTGTTTGAATTCGGTTTCCATAATTCTGGTTTATCGACTGATTGACCGTCCGGTAATGTTTCGCTCGATCAGCCACCCAGTGCGCAGGGAGAGGTCTCCAAGCTCTGCTCCTGTTACTCCGTCCATCCCCCTCGTAAATAATTTCATTTCGGGCAATAGAAAAAAAATGCAGACCTCCACTCCTCTCTAGCCGTACGCTACACGCCCACATGAATTGCTACCCATGAGATGAACCATTTGTAGGTAGCTACCCAGTCCTACGTAGCCCATACGAAGCTGTGTAAGGCGCTGCTTACATCCTTGCGCGTTTGTCTGAAAGCGCGGCATCAAGCACTCATATCATCCGACCCTATCAGGAAAAATTAAATTCCATCTTGGCTTCGACGTTTATGTTCTGACGAATGCTGTTCGTGCCGGTGTGCAATCGAACGACGGCGTCAAAATCTCTAATGAGAATACCACAATGGAGACTGAGGAGAACCCATAGGAGGGATGTCAGGCAGCAACAGTGCTCTTTCTCGGTTTGCGGAAAACACTCGGTATATTTTTGCCTGGGTCTTTCGAGGTGCGATTGATGTTACTGAAAATGCCCGGATGGGAAGTGGCTCTACTCATGTACGGAATCATACCAACAATCGGAATGTCGCTATTTCCCTACTCTCTGATACGTACACCAAGGTTTCAGCGCAGGCGGCATCAGAAGTCGGTGTGGAAAACGGCGATAGTCCAGTGAGCTGACTGACGGATGGTGGAAACCATCGTTAGAGTGCGCATGCGGCGACGTTCGGAAACAGCGGCGCATTGGTGACTTGGAAGGAGATCTGGAACCCTATTTTTTATTTCATCGCCACGGGATGTCGCGGACAGTTTGCCGGTACATTCTTCCAGCAAGTTGATCCCGACGGTGAGAAGGTTGGAAGTCCCTTGAAAAGCACCAGTGCCTTTGTCGTCTGCGATACGGTGATGATAGCTGCTGGGCGGGTCTGCTAGCTATACGAGAGCATGGAGTGAGATCTCTCGCAGGCTGTGTATGTGTCTTCCTGGACAACAACTATGATGAGTTTTGCCTGTATTAGCTTGGACGGGGCCGCTTCGACCACCGCAGCTTATCCAATAACCATGTCGCAGCAGACAGTTGGGGTGCAGCTTCTTAAGCCGGCTGTACTTACGGAGCTGTTCTCTTTGAAGCATTTTTGGGAAGATACGGTTGATGCTAAGTTGGGGGAATGGTAATACCAGAAGGGGGATTGATCTCTATACATTGGTGTTCTTAAACAGACTGCCATATTGTAAAAAGTCACTCTATCCCTTCAGCTTCTATTTAGTTTGGCACAGAAGAACAAGTGGCAAGCCTTGCTTTGCGGTACTGTGTATGTCTAAGGCCGATAGCTTCTTTATAATTTGTTGCTTTCTAACTAACATACATAAAATGCGTGGGTAAATACTCCCCTGAATGTAATTGCATCTTTCTGAGCAACGGAGATCTTTAGTTGGACGTACACCATATTCTCCAAGTGAACAGACACAGGAAAGCAGGTATCATCCTGGTAAATTTTCACCTACTTATCGTCGTACTTTGGGTATTGGTAATGGCCACTTGCATAGCAGGAAGAAGAAACCCCGTGGATGAGGTTTTAAGGTTAGGAATGAGCATATTCAATATAGTTCTGGTTGACAAATAACAACCCTTCACAAAATATTCATATCAATGAGAATGACCTTGTATTGGACTATGATAATGCATAATATATCGACGTTTCCTTTTTAGCCCCCCAACGTACGCCGGTTCAATATATGTGTGTTTCTTATCAGCGTCTCATTCAAGGGCTACGGGTCCAGAAGTAGGAAATGTGGGGAGCTGTCTCCAACCCCGCGGACATGGCATTGTCTCTTAGCATTGCTGATCATTGCCTGCCATTGAAGCGGAATCCAAATGGGCGGCTGACTCCACATTGGAATTCTGGGAGCACAAGAATGCTTGCGCCCTTGACCGAACCAACAGAGCTATGGGCTACCGTCCATTCCTCGTGGAAATTCTCTTTGTCGTCTTATTCGATGGGCAGCACTGAACTAAAATGGACATGAGCGACAAGCTCTACCCTAAGCTGTCATTGGCGACACATGTAGACAGAAGAAAACGTGCGTCGTCGATGACCCTCATGCCGCAATGGGTATGATGCTCCTATAATCGTCAACTCTATCCCTTCATTTCTTACGCGGGTGCACGCCGATCCTTTCGATTTACAACAATCCGTCACTTAACAAGCTCGCTCTAGATTTCATTCTGCATCTTCGCAGTTATTTTGTCCACCCCAGACTCTGACATTTCGTTATTTCTCTCTTATGCCTACAAATTCCCTTGCTTCCCCATCTTCGATTGCCCGAAATTCATGTATTTTCTCTGGACGCATCCTGCCCCCGCCCCATTACCCAAAGCCTCCGCGAAATCCGTTAGCTTTGTTTTGCTCTGCTATAAGCAATATCTTTTCCTTACCTTCGGGATCGCCTGGTGCAATTGATAATTTTGTGCAATTTTTGAACAATTCACCCAAAATGCTCTGCACGGCCCTGATGGCAGCAGCTTTGCTGGGTACCGTGGTGAATTCTCACATGATATTGAAACAGCCACCTCCATATGGCAAAGATACTCTCGATAACTCTCCGCTAGCAGCTGATGGTAGCAACTTTCCTTGCAAGTTGAGGCCCGGCGCTTTCCAAGCTCCTGCCGGGGAGACTGTCGCCAGGATCGGCGAAAGCATGCCGTTGAGCTTTATTGGCAGTGCTACCCATGGTGGTGGCTCCTGCCAGGTCAGTCTGACCAGTGACCTCCAACCGTCAAAAGACTCGAAATGGATGGTGATCAAGTCTATTGAAGGTGGGTGCCCGGCCAATGTTGCGGGCAACCTCGACGGGGGCGCAGATTTAGAGGGTGCAACTGTGTTCCATTACACCATCCCTGAAGGCATCGATCCGGGCCAATATACTCTTGCCTGGACTTGGTTCAACCGTATTGGAAACCGCGAGATGTACATGAACTGTGCCCCGATCACCGTCGCTGTTGGATCTTCGGAGCGCTCTGCAAACCCAGAAGAGAACGTTGTCCTGAAGCGCTCTGCCAGTTTCCCTCCAATGTTTATCGCCAACATCAACGGTTGCATCACCAAGGAAGGTATAGACATTCGCTTCCCTGACCCTGGCGACGACGTTGAGTTTGCCGGAAATCCTGCCAACCTAGCACCAGTTGGCAGTGCAGTCTGCACCGGTGTCCCCACTTTCGGCGGTGATGGTATGGCTGCTGGAACTGCGCGAAACGCGTATCTGGAATATGAGGAGCAAATACCAAATTATGAATAGGATGTATCAGGATGTATTTCGGTTATTAATGGTCCGATGCCCGGGAGGCCACTTCACAAACCGCCAATCTGAAAACTGAACAACACAGGATGTCCCGCAATTGTCATAGCTGGAATTACTGCTAGGAAGTCTCTTATACGAATATGTGGCTGCCCGTTGTTTGGTGAATTTTAAAGGAACTTTTGCTAGCGCAGGCAGTGGTATTTCCTCCAGCATGGTGATGTCTATTAGATGTTGTCAAAAAGAAAAAGCTACCAACTCAATGCAGTATTCCGCGAAGACCAATTTCATCTTATCCTAGGACGTGGCGAGAAAAAATGAAAGGGAATGTAGAAAGGAGCTAAGTCAAACAGTACAGGGTTGTTCTATTCAGCTTTGAGCATTGTATACAGATGTAAATGCCGAGCCTAGATTTGCTATCTCTGTGGTTAATGGAGTATTATTATTGGCTCTACTAAATCCTCGGCACTTTACTCTTAACTTTTTGCCTTTCAAACTATTGCCTGTTACTTGACTTTATAGATATCTCAATTACGGCTTCCTGTCGAAGGAATATTGCTTACTGTACATGCTGGAAATCTGGAAGAAGAAGAAAAAATCATCGGCTCTTGGGAAATGTGGCATGGGCATTTCTGTCGGGGGTGGGGGTTAACCACAGCTCTATATAGGAATGCCTCAGGAGGGAGTACTATGATTGGAAAACCAGGTTTGACAGCTTGCAGGAATGTAAGGAGGGGCTACAAAATTAACTCTTTGTGGAGCACTGGTTGGGTTTATTTGCTTCAAAAGTCTTTTCTACGATTTAATATTTCGGCAACCGAGACTATCATTAAGTTGAGATATATAGTACCTTGCTAAGTGTTTGGTTGGCGACCAAACATTGTGCCTCTTTCTGCTGGCGAGTAATTATAGAGAAGAAATTAAGCGCTATCAACTCATTACAAAGATGGTGTGTAGATTGTGGAAGCATGAGGTGCTCCGGGCAATGTCTTTTTTTAATGCGGCGGGCGAGTCCCTCACAGACGTATTGAGGGTTGATCGTGTCCATATAATGAACAGTCCGTGCCACATTCTCTTAAAGCAGCAGAATTGCGGATCACTGGCGCAGTTCAAATGCTTTAGGTAGGCGGGAAAGTAGAAAGACTAAAATACCAGTCTGAAGCTAAGGACTACGCACCTTATAACCCAGCCATTTCCAGTCAGCTTCACTTTCTGCATATCGACTCCTCGATACTTTATCGAGAATGAGCGTCAACAGTGGAAGCCTTGATGTTAATTTCTTTAACTATAGCCGGGTTAAAGTTTACCTATCTCTTGGGGAATGCTGTTAAATAACACTTAAAGGCCAATCCCATCCATTGCTTCACTATGTATCATCCTGATCACGGCGAATGAACAAAGGGCTATTTTGATGTCTGCCTAGGGAGTCCTGGAGTGTATATACTCTGAGATGACTATCGCATAGATTTGAGCCCTATTTGTTTATAAGCACCTTTTGCTTATATGGCCCACAATAATTATAAGTAAATCAGGTAGGTTGCTAGGGTGTTGTGTCTGACCAAAAACATGCTGGGAGCTCCTAGCGTTGCTATCTACTGGTATAGCAGCCTTCATAGTCCACCATCCTTGCCCCGAACGGCCATACAATAAGAATGTGTTGGCTTAGTCCTTCGCTGGTATTATTGGCCCTGGCATTGTCATAACTACCTACTATTTAGAGAGTCGCGTAAAGTGTAACTCCGGCCTTGGTGCATAAGATGGCTTCTGTCTCGATAGCAAATGTCAATGCCATGAAATCCACTGTTTTACATCTTGTGTACAAAGATTTCGATCCATCGTCCGTCTATTGGTGATTATCCTCTACCTAGATAACTGAAGTCTTATCTCAGTGGTTCTCAGTCTGGGTGGACTAACAGCTGTATTATAACATGAAACAGCTGTGACAAAATAAAAAAAACAGCTGATGATTCATCTGGATTCTTGAAATCTCAGACGGGTCATTGGGGCATGCAAAAGAACCGACCGTGATATACAATGTGGCGGTGTTGGGGATGAGGATATAGCTACTTTCTCGGCGACTCACGGCTAGTGAAGCGCAGCCATGCCGATGAGTCTTACCTAATAGGTTTCCGCTTTGCACTGTCAACCAACCTCGTGTTTGGTGGAGCCTCTATGCCCTAAGCCCAAGAAGGTATGCGGAGGCTCCATACCCTGCTTACGGTTAGCAAGTTTTGCAGCTCAGGGTCGTGGAGAATAACAAATTCGACCACACCCCGCGAACCAACGTCGATGCTAGCGCACGCTCTGGATAGCCTGACGATTGCTGCCGGGTGGGGAAGTGGGCAGATTCGACGAGACCACAGTTCGGAGGTCTCCGGCCGCAACAACGAGCACCGAACGACCGTCGAAGACGGCCGATTTGAGACGCTCTCGCGTCATGAAATGGGGTCGACAGCACGCCAATTCGTGGATCACCTAGAGTACCCCACGGAGATGGATATTAGTAAGAGAATCCGCAGTAACGATTGAAAGCGGCATGTACATACTTGTACGTACAATCTTGATGATGAGCAGGAATCCTTCCTGTTTCTGGCCGGTGGACCCGTCTAAACAGAAGGACACAGGCGCGATCAAAAACACCACTCCGGGGTCATCCAGTGTCAGTATCCCGGCCCACAGTATGGCAAGCAAGAATATAAATATACAAATACCCCTCGTGCAATGGACACTCTGCAAGGTCGTACCCGAGAACTGTACTTCAATTGACGATCACCATGGGTTTTACTGGATTTCTTGCTCAGGGGATATTCCTCGGCGTGGCCCTGGGCTCTCTCGTGATGGGCAACCAACCGGAGAAAGGATATGCTATTATGGACAATGATTGGGGTGCAATCGGCTTTCTTCCGGTACTTCTTGCCCTCAAGGGTGACATCGAAATCCTGGGATTGGTTTCTGGTAGGAGCTGTGGTAGTTCACAGTTTCGTTGCTGTCATTAACACTTGTCTAGATACCGCCAACTCATGGCAGCATCAGTGCGCGCATCATGCACTGGCAAACCTAGAAGTTGGAAACCTGACCTGCATCCCCGTGTACGCCGGGGCAACATACCCGCTCATCAACACCCCGGAGCGGTTCCGTGCATGGGAAACGGTCCATGGTCGACTTCCCTGGCAAGGTGCCTTTGCTCCCGAAAACCAAACTGCAGAGGCGCTTGGTAGCGATCCGACATCGGGGAATCCCGACCGAATCGTCAGCTCTGCCTTCATTGAGGGATTTCCAAAGACCAAGATCGACCGCTCGACAAATGCTGCGAGCTTCATGGTGGAGATGGTCCATAAATACCCTCGCCAGGTTTCCATTTACTCCGGCGGTGCGCTGACCAACGTTGCGTTAGCGGTCCGAATGGATTCGCAGTTCGCCTCGCTTGCTAAGGAGCTCGTCATTATGGGAGGATATCTCGATGTGAATATGCTTCAGGTCACAGGCGATTTCGAACAGGCGAATATTAATTCTGATGTATGCGGGACAACCTCCCCATCGGGGAAAATATCTGCTAACCCGTATACCTACCTAGATCAATCTGATGATAGATCCTGAGGCGGCCAAGATTGCGCTTAATGCCGACTTTCCCGAGATCATTGTGGCGGGCAATGTCGCCAACCAGGTACAATCCACGCAAGAGTATCTCGATGAGGTCTACGCCGTAAAGAATGACTATACGAAGCTCTTCCATGACCACTATGGCACCAATTTCCCATTCTGGGATGAGACGGCAGCGGCGCTGATGGCTAATCGCTCGCTCGCGACAAACTCCACCACTGGTAAGTTTATGGAGCGAACCTGCTATTGGAGGAATGATGTCGTTAATATATGCTAGCCTACATTGATGTTGATATATCATATGGAAGCCCAAGTTACGGAAATATTCATGTCTATCAAGAAATCCTCAAGCCGAGCGGTATTCGCAACGTCACGTACGTGAATCAAATCGACGGCGAGGTGCTTAAGGACATGATGAAACAAGCCATGTGGGAGCCTCCGACATGCCGTTAATTTCTCAAAACTGAAACAGCATGGATGATCGAAATCGATGGACCGCGCTGCGACGCTTTATAGTAGATTACCACAGAGGTTCACATTGTTTACTTCAGTCTGCTCTAGCTTCGCCGCGACAGCCAGATACCTTATACTCGCTTTTGGTTTGTGAACTGATTATAATCTTTCCATATAGACTCTAGGAGATTTTGTTTCAATTTATCTTTTCTTGTTATACAAGCTTGGTATGTGGTTCTTTGTTACTATAGCAATACGCCTGTCTAGATCCCTGCTGTATATTATTTCGTTTTAGCAAGCAACCGCCCTCTTCACTAGACGCCGAGGCCGCGCGTTGCGTGCCCCCGACAGCCACCTGTATGCACCCCAAATACCATATACAGATCTCGAGAACTATCTACTAGTGCTCTTGACTTAAGGCCTGTGAAATGATCTCGAAGTGTCTGGGGAAGCAGGGCGATTGAACAAGCACACCTGCCACCTGTAGGCGTCTGGGTCAGGATCCTTGGCCTGCTTTTATATCTTTCAGTGCAGGCCGCGAACCCAAGGGCTAAATATGCTTCGGTTTCTCACAAGTTCTCAATGTGGGTGCTTTTACATCTTACACGACTATGTTATGCTACATATCCTCAAGCGTGATGACATCATGATGCAGACCACCGTGTCGCTGCGAAAAGTTAGATATCTGACATCAACTGGAACACTTTCTTGTAACAGTCTGTTTTCAATGGAATGTACGCATTACAAAAGACAGCCTAACTTTCGTCCCACAATAAGCGTATCAGTAGTAGGGCTATTGATCCAAACATAGGCATCGCGAACGCGAATTACTATCGATCAATCAATGGCTAGATCTGAACAAATATGTTATCTATAATTACATTAACTAATGCTGTAATGATTAACTCTTAAGGTCTTGACAGCGGGCCCAGAAGATAATCATTGTATGTTTGATGGTGAAGGCGATTTCACTAGAGACTGTAGGGTTTGATGAAGCTGTCTACGTGGCCCGAGAGGACTGACGCGCGTCTCCGTGTGCAAAGAGACGGAAGTCAGCTACCTCACTCGCACTTAGGACCTGAAGTCGACCAGCTAAAGTAGTGTCGTCCTAGCGGAGAATGTGAGAAATTCCCCTACTATCTTACTTGCACTAAGAACCTGAGGCTGAGAAACCGAAGCGATGTCGTTCTAGCTGAGATACCGGTGATGCATGTTTAAGCAGCAAACCTGGAGACACCTGCGGTGTTCTGGTCGGAGCCTCAATATCTGGAGGTCGCTCATCGAGAGTTGACTGGACTGAAAACCGAGGCAGTGGCCAGAACAAGCGGGCCTGTCGAAGCTGCTTTGCGTCAGCTGCACGGAATCGTTAAGGCTTAGCCACGGGAAGCCTTGGCTGTGTAGATATGTCTCCTGGATCAACTCCTCCGTCTATCCACACCCTACGGCTGTACAGCTCAGTCACGTGCGGGGAACACGCCTGTTAATGCAGATGCAAGCTGGCCACTCGTGGTTGGCTACTCACGCACAGTATTATCGAATTCGGGAAGACCACAAGTGTAGATGCGCCGCTAAAGAGACGTATACATGTACTGGTGGACTGCCCAAAGCTGAGGACCCTACGGCAAAGGCTACGCAAATCAATAGGGGGAGCGATTAAATATGTGATGGTCATGCTAGGAGAAAAAGGGCCGGCGGGAGAAGAAAGAGGCGTTTGAAGGCTCCGCCCAAAGTATGTAAGTTAACTCGCTTGAACCAAAGTTGTTAGACGAGAAGAAGGGCAATACTAGAAGGCTGAAAAACCAGTTCTAGTATACACCTTGTTGGCATAGTGCCGGGAAGTAAAGGATATCGGCCGGGAAAGGCGCTTTATATTATAGATGTCAAGTACGAGCCTCAGGTTTGCTGGCTCGTTCTTCTTTTTAACCTGACTACCCTATTTGCTGACCTTTTGTCAACTCCTCGTTCTCTGGAATCTACATTTTGGATTTATCCACTGTGACAGCCTCTCAATTAGCGTTTTACGGCAGGCTCAGGGGACTATCGAACTACTAAATAGTATATTCCTTGCAGGGCCTGGACAAGACAGAGGTGTGTCTGCGCTATTCTCCATGAGTACAATAATACACAACACAGGCCATTGCAATAGAGATCTAGGGGCTTATCATGTAGCACGCTATTGCTCAAGTTTCTGAAAGACCGAGTATTCCGGCGATAGCGGACGCTATCGGTGATAGTGCTTACTGAGGGATGACTTGGTCGGTCTCTGGGCGGGGGTTTGAGCCCTCACTTTTATAAGGCGAGCCCTACCTGTGCCGCAAGCTCGTAAGCTAGAGTAAAGCGTCTAAGCTACTTCACATCAATTGGCGTGATTGGGCTAACTCTAAATTCGCAGTGATAGTCATAGCAGAATATACTTCGCAGAGGTACCATGCTACTCTTTTTACATCATTACCCAAGCAGCCTATTCCCTATGTGGTCCATGGAAAGGATCCCACGGTGATTATCCAACTAGATATATCAATAAATGAGGCAATACTACCTGTAGCTGCAATTCAATGAGGGCATTAGTAGGTGGCAGTGGTTTCTGGAGATGCACAACTTCTTCACGAGCAACAAGCTGTTCTCTTCGAGTAAGGCCATAGCATCGAGTATACAGATGACTTATTTACAAGCGGGGCAAGTCGCTCCAGATAAGCCAAAGGTAGATTTAGCCACCATATGGTGGTCCGAGGAGCATATTTGGTGCAGTTCATGCTTTGATCTCACCCAAAGATAACCTACGCAGTTGGGGGGCTAATCTGAGCTGTCATTGTGTGGCAAATATAATCTGTACACATTATTCCCATGCTAGGAAGTAAGAGAAAGGCGAAACACGATACTGTTTCAAATATGCTTCTCTGAATCTTGTTTTACTTTAACAATAAGATGGTACCGATGTTCCGGATAACCTGTAAAACATTGATATATACACTTGTCTTGAAACAGGAGGCTTAATTGGCCCTTCATGCATCTTCCATAAATACAGGCCACGTTGGAATGTTCTCGTATTAGTGAAGAATATCCCGTTATCTTTATACCTCTAAACGTCTTGAGGCAACCAAGGGCTTTTAAAGCTCCGATTTTGCCTGGTCGATCTTTTCTTCACATCTATTTTCCAGATGGCTGAAGTGATCGGGGTCGTGTCGAGTGCCATTATCTGCGGAAGCCGGTGGGTGGTCAGGTGGTCCGCCACAGATATATTCGCGACTCTGAATATGATCTTAACCCCTGCACTAGATATGCCAGTGATATAGCATGGCTGCTGTGATCGTCATAGATTATAGTAAGAACAACATGAACAGAAGAATACCACTAGTGACTGGATGAGTGGCCCGCGATGATAGACAGCGGGCACAGAGAACATCAGATGACTCTGCACGAATGGGTATCTGACAGTCTAAGCAAGGATGAGTTTCAATAAGAGGGGGCACCTGTGGTAAACGGCAGACTGGGCAGAGAGGTGGCTGGATAGCTGCAGATATACGAATTTGACGACCGCAATTACAGCATTTTCCAGTGCTGAATCTCCCAGTTCTGGAGTATACGAGGTCGAAATGGCGAATATGGCGAAATGAGATTTTAAAAGGGTACAGATGAAATTCAAATGGTAAGATTAATAGTTATAGGGAAAGACAAGTCACATTAATTCAAAGAGGCGGTCAGGAGAGTGAGTTGTATCTATCAGAACTCAAAGCCTATGCAATGTGGATAGAGCACTTCAGTGAAATCGCACGTGGCAATAAGTCATATTGTGCATGAGTATGATGACTGCAGGAGAGCAGAAAATAGAGCGGTCATTGAAATAGAACTTGCAGATAAAACCCTAGAGCCCTAAGCTAAAACAAGACTTTTCCCAGGAGAAGATAGAGCCAAAAAAAGACTTGTCCAGAAAAAGAAATCAAGAGTAAATGAGAAGCGTATGTGGAAAGAGCTCTCTACAGCAAAAACGCCATACACTTTTGTGTACGCCCTTGCAGGCTCGTTTACTTTTTCCCTTTCTCTCACTTCGTTCCTCGTTCGTTTCAGGGTAGTAGGTATCAGGAATGTGGGCTTCCGTATTATTTAGCTACCTACCGCTGAATCCTAAGGAATGCAATCATAAAATGAAGAGGTCTGGTTTCTGATCTAGTGATAAAATGAGCGATATTAGGAGGCCGTAAAATGATCGCTAAACGATACGATATCATGGCGATATATAGCGTAATCATACCCTAGAATGAAAATCAGGACACTAGTCTGAATTGAGTAGGGTGGTGGTTGATAGTGGTAATTTTGGTTGACACTAGTCCTCCATTTGCACCTCGTTCTTTAAAGGACTTGCATGTCCGATCCTTGCACCTGGAACAAAGGACGACTCTGTTATTTGGGGGCTTGCGCTTTTTGCATGTAATCCCTTGTTGGCATCCGTTTTGACATTGCCGGTGCTGGGAACAGGGGCATAAGGATGGGAAATGCTCTCTCGCGTGGGATGGGCTGTGCCTGTTTGAATGACGCCGTCACCACTCATTCTATTAGCCGCATAAAGAGCGAAATCGCCAGAGTCGAAGTAGGTCCGTCTCTTCTTGATATCAGCTGTGATGTTCGTGGGTCTTCGATTATGAGAATTACCTTAGACTCAAGTAGTCCTCTGAGAGGCAGTAGCTGTTCGTAGTCACTAACGAGGCGTTTATTCCGCCCAGAGAGGGGCTATTGTTCCCCACAAATAAGCAAGTGCAAGTTAACAGCTGTTGGAATGACTGACTAATCGTACTTCAGCCTCGGAGTTCTTATTCTCACTTTCCATGTCGCAGTAAATGTGGGAAGAAACGATGGATACAGGGAGATCCACAAGACATGGGCTTATTGTACACAAAAGCCACTGATGGTCAGCGACGTCATGGCAGCTGGCACGGACCAGACCCACTGTCTTGATCGCGGAGGTCCCCAGTACCCTTTCGATCTTCCACGCTTAATACAGCGTGGCGCATACATTACTACCGACGGTCCACTTATGGTAGTTGATCCCTTCGTATCAGGAAGAGAGCCATCCAGTATTAACCTGGCTGTGTTGCTTAACCATTCTCACAACACCTGCGTCGCAAGCAAGTATCAGTGGGGGTGGTTGCGACTGCTCACTGCTAAGAAGATCTAAGAAGCTATCTCGGGCCTTCACCTCTCATATACACTCTTCCGTTATGGTATGTTGGTAATGCCGTTCGCGATCCTATACCATACATGTATTTACAATCGTGTAATTTATATCTTCGTAATACCACTTGTGTCCTAATCCCTGGGACAACTTCGATCTATATGGCTGCTCGTGTTGGAAGAGGGTGGCAAAATATTCTATTTTTCGGGGCCTGGATCGGAGTACCAAAGGTACAATTCAGAAACCCCGCTTCTCTGCTTTTGTATGGCTGCAGCTCTGATGCTCAAAGAGCCCATTGGATACGACGGGGACTTGCCAAATGTCATGTCCATAATAATCTATTTTCTGGTCCTGATGTAGCTGGAAGCCCTTCCCGCCACTCTCGACATACTGGCCCTCGTATGCGGCAACAGTCCATTTCGTGTGGCCTCCGGAGCAGTTTAAAAGGCCTGGAAAACTCTTCCTGAATTTCGCCTATTATGTATCCTTTCAAATATATATTTTTAGGATTATATTATTTAACCCTATTTAAGATGAACTTTTACCTTGCAGACGGCAATTCCCCTACGAGTCAGACCGACCAATGGTGGATGGGTTTCCCAGTGCTTCCCGGTGGTAGCTGGTCGACGCCTTATGACTGCAGCCGGTCAACGTCCCACGCTCAGCTGCAGTCTATGGACCTCTCACCCGGCGAGACTTGCAGCTTTGATATGATGGAGGGGCTCGTGTGTGATACCTCCACTTCTCCCAAAGTGAGAATAGATTAACTACCCATTGAAACTACCTAGTATGTACGGTGCTAACGTACCTACAAGGTTCTCGGTATGACTTGCCACGAGGCGCCGGCGCCATTGAGTAGCAGCCAAGGAACGATGTACCTAACGCACAAGCAGATGCTGTTTGATGAATCAGCAAGACCTCCAGAGTCAATGCGTACGTCGATTACTCCTGACTTTAGTTCAGACTCTTCACCCGCGCATCCAGCCGTACGGCAATACAGCTCTGTGCAGCGTCTCTGCCCATCTACATCCTCGGACAAGAGTGAGGATGCTCCGAGCATCTGTATCCAGCGGAAGGAGGCACACAATCAGGTTGAGAGACGTTACAGAGCGAATCTGAATGCCGGATTCAAACAACTTGAGGATATCACCAAACAAGAGGCTGGGACGATAGGTACCGATGTCAAGTCGGCGAAGGGGTTGAGGCCGGGTAGAAAAGCATTGATTCTGCAGAATGCCTATGATCGTATTATCAGTCTTCAGTTTGAGCTCCAAGCACTGCAAAACAAGATTGAAACATTGTGAGGTTGTATCGGTGTGAAGATTGTATCGATGAGACTTTTCATTATACCCTACTAAGTGAACAATTCATCCTGGGAATTGGTGGCTTGTTGTTATATTCACTTCTTACTGCATCTGCCATATATTAGTGGACAATGTGCCTTTACAAGTGTTCTGTATAGAGATATGTAATTGTCGCTGCTTGAAGAATAGAATCCCAGATGAAACATAACGAATGCCATGTCATTTAGTTGTCAACCTGTTTAGTGCTAACAACATGGTCGCTTTGAAACTGCAGCTTTCGTAAGCAGGGATAGGAAGAGGGGGATGTGTTCCAATTCAATGAGTGTAACTTACGTGCTAACGTATTTCACCGAGTCGGCCACACCCCCGAGTCGGCCACCTGTGTATCCCATAATAAATGGCACATTTTATAACCACAATATCTTAATAATAAGATAGAGGAGTAATACGAAAATGGGTATGTATATATATAAAGGTTACATAAAGACATTATTTATATTTACAAAATTTTAAATCCCGTTTTTAAGAATTTTAATGCTGCAATATATAGATTACCAAAAATACATTGTAATTTATATTACCAGTTAAACTATTGAATCCAGTATCTCCTCTGTTTAATATATATATCTATAAGGGCATATTGGTTCAAATACTATATTTGAGATAGCTACCATCTCTAAGTATTGAGATGTGATTATAAAATGTGCCATTTATTATGGGATACCCAGGTGGCCGACTCGGGGGTGAAATACGTTATGATGTCACTGGGCAGAACAGCTGGATTACTTGCAGCTTTTGCCCGCCACCGTAGCCTACACTATGGGTAAGTCCCGTAAGTTTCATTTAAGCTTTATCACCAAGGAGAACCGTTAAGGAAACAGTATGTCAGAAGACTTTGCCGGCGCTCTAAATGTAGGGGTCGCAAACTATGATCAATACCATGTTTAGTTCGTGTTTTGTGACAACGTTCGCGTATCCTTCCCGGCGAACAGCGTATTCCCTGATGGCCTTACACCGCCGTGGAAGAGGGCCCTAGACTGCTCGCGAATTTCGTTCCTAACGCCAGATCAGTTGGCACGGCAGCCTACAAATATTGGCCATCTCTACCATGGGATCCAGAGAAATGAAAATGTAATTGATATAACCAGCTCCATCTTCAGCTAAGAACTTTAGCAAATAGATTAACCCCGTAGAGCCGGTAGTTACACGAAGTAGAAGCCACTAGTGACTTTCCTGCTTGTCAAGTATACCAGCTTTGCTACTAAATGAGGTTTATAGACCGTCTCAATGCCCAAAGGGTTGGGCTCCCAAACTTATAAAACAAGCCTCGTCGCTCAATACAGTGCTGAGGCATCACCAAGTTCTGTGAAGGTAAGCAGAAGCAGCACCTATCAGCGCACTCCTGGACTTCGCATTGGTATATCTCAAAGAAATTCTTGAAGAAGAATTCTTGATTATTGATGAAGCTATTTGAGAAGAGCTATGTACAGTCTAGACTGCTAGTGGCGCAAGAGTGAGGTGCGCGAGATCCAACAGGATTCGTAGTCGCGGCCATGAGGGCTCAAAATAGAATGACAAGGAATAAAGCCAGCACAGAGCCTTCTCAAGGCTCTAATTTCTGCCTGCTTGTAATGGTATAGTGTAAATAGGCAAATATGGATAGCTATAGTTGTAGTGGTGTGTATATCAAGGGGAGAAGCCAGGGTAAATGCAACGGACCAGAATATCTGTACATTTAGAACTGGGTTCGGGATCTAAACATCAACATGCAATATAGTGCATCTGATATGAATTTTTGTAGTCCTTACTTTCACGCCGTCCTCTGGTCAAATTAAGGTTAGACTTCTAGCATGCCAGTGAGGTCAATATAGACATTTAAAACGAGTGATCAAAGACAAAGACATATAGGACCTGTTACCGCGCGAATAATAATCGCAAAGTTACTACTGCCTCTTGAAGTGAGGGCGCACATTTTATATTCCTTCTGAGTTCCTTGACAACTTCATCAGTTTCAGAATACAAAATGCGGACTAACCGTAGAAGGATTTTGTCGGTTTCCAATGCATCTCTTTGCGCCTTTAGCAAGGCTTCCTTGCGGCGCTTGTCCTTCGAGAAGTCAAATATACACTCAAACCCGGCGGCAGTACACCCCTGACAAGGCGCCGTACCAGTGCACTATTAGTGGTTAGAAATCTGAAGAGGAAAGTAAGAAAAGGCCCATATAATCAATCACCTTTATACGTTTTCTTTGGCAGGCTGTGCAAGCTGTACTTTGGCGCTTTCGCTTCAAGTCGGTACCTGACATAGAGTCCGGATGTGGATCTTCTTGTAATAAGCTTTTAGGTAGTAAGGGTCTTGCTGAGTTTCCAGTATTCATGGACATGCCTAAGAGTTACTAGAAAATAAACGCTTGGGAGTGGTTCGAAAATAACATCCACTTCCTTCTGGCTAGCCAGGTTGTTATATAGTGTTGTTTCCACCCCCGTCTCCGTGGGAAATTTTCCTTCTTCTTGCTTCTTTCTGTTTCCTTGCGTAGCTTACCTTATTGTGCCCACATTGTATAGGCCATAGAATTAAATACATGTTTGGCATAACGAAAGGAGATTCGTGACATAAAGAATGGTGACCAAGTAGTGCGAGAGAAGGTGTAGACAGCATATAAGTTAATGGATGGGAACGAGCAACAAGTGCCCCGAGGCAGACTCTCACGCATTTTCTAAGAATGATTAGAAATGCCTTTAGGTTTGGGGCTGTCCCTCCACTCCAAAACCTCTTGTTGCCCTAAGCGTTAAGACCAGCCGCTCTAGGAGCAACCCATTCTTATTTTCCAAAAGGCAAACAACGGCTAGGCCTTAGAAACCGTGGAATGATCTTGCTAATATACCCATAGGGTCAAACGTGATAACATAAGGGCCCCATCGACCAAAGCTCATGATGTACAAAAATATTAGGAGGAATAGAGCCTAACCCCTTATTTTTGCTTACTAATGCATAATGCACTTCAACAGCCTAGTATAGGCCATGGTTCCTGATCTCTAGACCATACTGGTGGTTCCGATTGGCCTTCTAAAGCATGATTGTGTTTGTAATGGCCAAGTCTAGCTCAATAATTCGATAAACTATGGTAAAGTTACACGGTAAGGGTTACATCTAGTGTCAGCACAGAGAACATGCCTTGGGTAGGTTCGAGGGAGGCGAATATCAGAACTGCCCTTCCCTGTATATAGCAGGTGATAGAAATGGAATGCTCTAGACGCCATCTGCTATAGGTAGGTCTTAGTAACAAGGTTTATTTATAACCCACGTTCCAACCATGGACATATTTTATGATGTCATCAGAAATGCTGGTCTCTAAAGATAAATTGAATCCTCCTCCAAGGCAAACTGTTACCGAAACGCATGCAACCGATTAGGGCTCACAAGAAATATACTTGGTACGTAAGTTGCAATACATATATCATAGATGGTACCGGAAAAGCAGATACCGTCAGGGCCTAGGTCGAATCCTGCCTGAGGCACCAAAACTACTTTATTCACTGGTGATCCGATCCTACAACACAGATTTCTCAGAGCCCCTGTATGATGGTTTTTCTTCTTTCGCTCTCTACGTTTGATGCCTTGTTAGATCGCCACATTAGATATAAATGATACATTCTTCCAATGTGTATAGGATCGTCATAGATACAGCATAAGGCTGAGCTGAAATCTGATCGACAACCAAACGCATTTTGACCCCTCTTACAGTGATAATTTTGTTAAAACACTTCCTTGAATGGGCATATGATGTAGTCTATCTACGAGTGGTCTTCTGCCCGAGCGGCAAGCTACTGTATTGCATATGGAATACCTCTTTTCGAGACTAATATCTCAACAAATAACAGATCAGGAGGACAAAAGCTATAATATAGACTAATATAATGCTAAAAATAAGGTAGGATATCAACACAGGTCTTGTATATTCGACATCTCTAGTATACGCTTTGGCTGGATTCCAGAATGCAAAAATTCTACATAGAACAGCTCCACTTTAGACACCGTGGCTATAACCGGGATAGTAATAGCTGTTCATAAGTTCTGAGTACATGTCGCGGATGACCATAGTTTAGCTTGACTATTGTTGAGACGATATGCAGTGATACCATTGCAAAGAGAGAGTGTACACCTCTGCAAAATGACAGCAATACGTTCGAGTCAGCCTGGCTCATTGCCGCGGATTCGCTAATTCACTGCTCAATCAAACACACGATCTGCGCCTGGGACAGACCGACAGTATTGAACATTATCTTGTAATGATATTTTCTCTGTAGTGGAGCGGGAGGGAGACTTGACTCCCTCCGGTCGTTCATAGGTTTTGTTCTCTTCCCTAGTCGTTCCTCCCAACGATCGGAGGGTGTAGGGGTGTGAGAGATTTCATAATCCGACCCCTCGCGTTAAAACTTTGAACTTTTGTTGATAGTCAGTACTATCTACGGGGAGAGATACAGCTATTTATAGCCATACTACCTGTTCTTTGTACTTACTAGCGCAGCTGAGTCATGAAACATCAATATAAGTCATAGGCTCCCCCCGAGAGCGGCATGCTTGTGGATATTTTCCATCAACTCTGTCTGGTTGAGCGGTTTGGGGAGATAGTCGTCCATTCCTGTTGCAATACACTTTTCCCGGTCGCCGAACATTGCATGAGCCGTGAGAGCGATGATAGGAGTGCGGCGTAGACTGTGGGCTCTCTCGTACTCGCGAATTTGGACCGTCGACTCCAATCCGTCCATGACAGGCATTTGAACATCCATTAAAATTACATCGTACTGTTGGTGCCGAAATTCATCCAGGGCCTCTTGTCCATTTCCAGCTACAGTCACATTATGATGGTGCTTTTCTATCATCTTGAGGGCTACCTGCTGGTTTACCTCGTTGTCTTCAGCGAGCAGGATGAACAAAGGGTGAGGATTTCCTGAGTGATTGCGTAAAGGTCGGCTTTCTAGAGCAGGGAGGATTCCGTTAACTAAATCAATTGGGCGGCAGGGAGTTGTCACATAGGATATTACGCCTAAGTCTAGTGCGGACTCCATATCGACTGACACCACAGGACAGACTAGAACAACAGGGAGAGACTTGAATGTATTCAAGCCCCTCAGTTGAGATACGGATTCTATAGTCTGCACCATCAAGACGTCATATTGCCGATGTGGAATTGTGATGGGCGGAACCAGAGTTCCTGGTTGGGAGGTACAGTCTTCAATATTGACAATATCAGTGTCAAGGCCAAACTCCTGTAGAATCAGCTTGATGTGCTCTGAATCGCCACTGGTGTATTTATCAGGGTCTTCGACGAACAGCACTCGACAGCTCTTATATGGTGTAAGCTCCTTGGTAATGCCCTTGATGGATCGATTCAACAATGCAAATACGCATGTGAAGTGGAAATTGCTCCCGACACCCATGGCGGACGTGACGTATATATCTCCTCCCATCAATTTAACCAACTTCTTGGAAATTGATAAGCCAAGTCCGGTGCCGCCAAATCGTCTTGTCATAGAGCTATCCGCTTGTTGAAAGGTATCGAAAATCAATTCTAATTTGCTCTTTTCTATGCCGATACCTGTATCCGAAACGCAAAACTCGAGTGAACATTTGCCTGGAGGACAAGCTGTTGAATGTGTCTCGTTGACAGTAAGCACAACCTCTCCAGTCTCAGTAAATTTGATTGCATTTCCAATTAGATTTAGAATAACCTGCCGCAGGCGAAACGCGTCCCCAACCACATAATCACACACCGAGTGGTTGGTGTGGTATATGAGGCGAAGGCTTCTTTCACTACATGCAGCCACAAGAGTCTTCAGGGCCTTAAATATAGCTTGCCCCAGGCTAAATGGAACAGCTTCGATCTCCATGTGATTCGCTTCGATTTTAGAGACATCGAGGATATCATCAATGATCACTAAGAGACTGTTTCCCAGGTTGCGGACCACATTTAGCATGTCCCGGGTGTGCGGAGCCAGATCATCTGTATCAAGGGTAAGTTGAGTCATGCCAATAATGCCGTTCATGGGCGTTCGTATCTCATGACTCATATTCGCAAGGAAATCCGATTTGCTCTTGTTTGCCAGCTCAGCAGCCTCCATAGCCGCAATATTGTGCTGAATCCTATCACGCAAGTCGGAGGTCATCTTGTTTATTTTTCGCTTCAGCTCGTCCATCTCGCCAGAGGTGCTCACTGTAATTATTTTACTAAAGTCACCATCAGTGGCGGCATTAGTGATTTGGTTAAAGGCTCGAACTTGTGAGGTCAGGTTGGCCGCCATCATATTGACATTGTCTGCCAGCACCTTCCATTCTCCTTCGACATTGGGAACCGCAGCCTGTCCACCAAGGGTACCATCGACACCAACTTCACGAGCCACTTTACAAACCTCCGATGCAATCTGATTTAATCGACTCACCATCCTATTCATCGCTTCCTTGAGATCCAAAATCTCTCCACTCACATTAGCTGTGATACTCCTGGTAAGATCCCCGCGAGCCACAGCATTGGTCACATCTGTCAATTCACGGACTTGGTTTGTCAGGTTCATTGCCATTCCATTAACATTCTGTGTCAGGCTTTTCCAAACACCATTGACGCCATTAACAGTTGCCTGGCCACCTAGCACACCATCAGTCCCCACTTCTCTTGCGACTTTGGTGACCTCTTGGACAAACTGTCGGAGCTGGTCAACCATAGAGTTGATAGTACTCCTCAAAGCGAGGATCTCTCCATTACAGTCTGCCTGGACTTTCCGAGTAAGGTCCCCATTTGCGACCGCGGTAGTTACAGTGGCTATGGCACGAACTTGCATAGTCAGGTTGTTGGCCATTGCATTGACATTGGCAGTAAGTTCATTCCACATTCCTTGAGACCCATATATACGGGCCTGTCCGCCAAGAACCCCTTTGATTCCGACATCACGGGAGACATGGCTCAGTTCAGTGACAACTGTACGGACTTGGTCTACCGTAGTATTGATGGTGTCCTGCAGTTGAAATATTTCACCCTTTGCGGGCCCTTTGATCTTCTGACACAGGTCACCGTGTGCCACTGCTGTCGTGACCGCAGTAATTTCCCGAATTTGGTTGGCCAAATTCAATGCCATGGAGTTGATATTCTCGGTAATCTCCTTCCATACGCCGTGCATTCCGGGAACTTGTGCTTGAGCACCAAGAAGGCCCTCCATTCCTACCTCCCATGCAACCCTGGACACCTCATAAGCAAAAGCTCGCAGTTGATCTATCATGACATTACTCGTGATCTTAGAAGTGATGATGTCTGTGTCCATTTCCAACCGATCAATTGAAAGCTTTGTTGAGAGATCCCCATTAGCAATCTGTTTAATATTTTTCGTGATATCCTGTAGTGCTGTCCGAAGCGCTTTGTTCATCTGACGATGCTTCTGCAGTTCTGCCACAAGATGACCATTCTTGCTCCCCGCACGATGAAGAAGTATTTCGGAGAAAACACTTGAAACCACCTCTCGTGGAAGCTTTATTTCCTGATTTTGCTCACCAAGCGCTTGTCTTATGTAGGAACAATTATCATCGCGTGCAAACACATCTCCTGCGCTACAGTTGATATAGTTGCTATCCCAACCTCCATCCAACCTAATTAACCAGTCAGTGTCGGAATATCACATTAAATTTATTTATTATCCAATCCATACCATTCAGACCCTCTTTTCATCGCAGGACACAGTCGACTGTTGAGTGGCCTGGTATAAGGCGTGGGCAATGCAGACTGGTAAGAATCACTCTCCAGTTCCGCGCAGGGTATCTGAGTTTCTAGAGCACTCAATTGCAGAGACTGAATGTGACGTATAAATCCTAGAAATTGCTTTTCGAAAGCCGTTTTCCCATCGCTTGGCTCCCCGGGAAAGTGAAAGCGTAGATCATGGGCAGTGTCTGTTGATGCATCTGAGGGTTCAGTGGATGAAGCAGTCGCGTCGAACCCTGACGGCAGAACATGTTCCAAATTGGCCGCTGCAGCCAAAAAGGCCTCCTCAACAGCAGACATTGTTAGGGAATGTCAAATCTCAGTGGCGAGAAAAGAGCTAACGGGGCATTGTTCGTGGCCAGACACTGCCCTGTGTACAGATATCCTTCAACAATAAATGTAGGATACGTGTAACTTTTTCAGCGCTTTGCTATGAGGCCCTTGTCGGGACAGAGGGATTCCGAATAATAAGGCAGCTGCACAGTCTCGTTACACAGAGCGAAAAGAGCTCTTGCAGAACGGGCGGTATATATTACAGCTCAGAATAATACTCAAACAAACCCAGCCATAAATATTTCGTCACAGGGTCAAGGTCAAAAAAAAAAAAAAAAAAAAAAAAAAAAAAAAAAAAAATATATTAAAAAAAAAAAAAAAAAAAAAAAAAAAAAAAGGCAAAACGTAGAAAGTGGTCTGTGGCAAATTCAAATTCAGGTAACTACCTAAAATATCTCTTGAAGGTGGAATCTACATGGGGAAGAATTTCTGGTAATAATATAATAGTTTGCTAGAGGTGCTGCGTACTTGATAAACGGGCGTTTTGTTCTGTGGATGTCGATCATAGTCACAAGGTATGGTTATTCGGATGTGACCTAAAAAGCGTCAGCTATGTGGTTTACCAAGGAAATGCAAAGGCGACAAAGGGGTGAGCCATAGAACAGAAGAAATCCGCTATGCGACCGGCTGTTCTAGATAGAACCCTTGCCGTCGGACCACTAACAGGTTATCATAAACTTTTAATGACCTCATTCCACCTCTGGCAAGAATTTTTTGCTGTGCCTTCTGTCAGAAGACCTTTAGCTTCGCTTTGTTGCCCCTGCTCGGTGGTTCTTCATCACACCACTCCGCCGCAGATTTGTCGACCTGGTCGCCACATTTAACTAGAAAAGGCTACAATGCGTTACAGAAATTCTCGTAATAAGCTTACATGTACTCTAGCCGATTTTCGCACTTTTCGAAGAACCGGAGATATTGTACGACTGCTGAGTTTCGTTTTCGAGGAGCATGGAGAATTGGATGCGGTAATGGAATCAGAGGAGAGAAGCTGTGGCTACAGAACATGCTGTCCTTTCATATCAAATGTCAGAACCGATAGGGAGCCTAAGGCGGCAACCATGTCACCTGACCACAACATCAGAGAATCTCTGTACGATAGATTACCAATCCCGAAAGAACAGTGGGTGATTCTGATACAAAAGCATCCACGGATGCTTTGCCTGTTTGCAGACGACCCCAAAGGAGCGCACAACATTCCATACACCTTAGTGAAGACCAGGAACGCGATACGCTAGGTGGCGGAGCGAAACGAGGCCAGAAAACAGACGCGTCGCTTACCCGCAACTGGACCTCGCCCTACACCTGGAGAGAAGCAAGGTTACAAAATATAAATTATAAAATATAGTAATCAGTTAATAAATAGTATCAACCAAAGTGACCACTATTTCAGAATTAGGAAATGCCAGATTAGTCAGCCATCGCCATGACCATCTTTGACCTCACTTTTCCTGTTTTGACTATTGATACACCTGTCAAGTTGAGCAGTATGTAGTAGTTGAGATAGAGGCAGAGATTCAGGAATTCAGACCCTCATGCATTAATATCTTCGGCCATAGAATTACTCGTGTATTCCGAATACAATAGATGTTGACAAATAGTCAAGAAATGGTAACTAAATAGTTTATAAATACCTAAAACTTGTAGCTTAAGGTAGTGGGTATAGAAAATGTCATGTATTGAAAAGTTTACAAGCCTCGTAACATAAACCCTGAGCGGTAATGGGCACGCTAGGTATGTCACATGACCAGTTTCGGGGCGCCCGACTGTTTGAACGAGGGCGGCTGGCCTGTAACCTGCGGTTTTGGTCGTTCAATTTTGGTAAACCACGTAAGAAAGTACAGGACGTAGAAATTTATGACGACAAGAGAAAATCAAGCCCTGAAGAAAATCAAGGGCGCAAAAATGCAGAAGCTTTAGGGACGTGGAAATTTTTGACGTTACAGATGTTTTTCTCTCGTGCGCCCTTATTTGCTGAGACTAACTATGGGTGCATCCATTAGGCTAACTTGGCTGTTCGTGGGATGCCATATATATCAAGTCAAGTGCTCCACTGAGAATCAATGGATGTTGGTGACTAGCCGAATCAGCACTAGTTAACTACTTAGTTACCTCGGTGTATGGTTAACTCGAATATTTTTCGGATATCATGGGTAACCAGGATGGACCACGCCGAGCCGGAGCCCCAGTTTAAAGATGAAGCCTGGGCAATGATTGGTCTCATGGGGAGGCCTTACACCTACTAGTCGAATCTTTGAGAATCATCGGGCTGTCTCATAAACTTGACTTACCAGCCGAGCCTCTTCTCTCTTCGATCTGACGTCCACACAGTACAGCACATCCAGTACCCGACGATCAGCACTCACATTCCATCCTTTTTTCCTGGGGACAATGAGCCAGCAACATCCTTTACCAACTCGAAAACAACGTAGAGCTTCTGGGAAAAGATCAACTACAGGATGCCGAACCTGCCGGTGAGTATGGGAATGTAACTAGGGTAACGATTATGCCTTGGCTAATTGTCCGTAGAGCTCGCCATGTGAAATGCGACGAAAGCCCAGGCCTGTGCAAAAACTGCACCTTAACGGGACGAAAATGTGATGGGTACGACCTGCACCGGCTGAAGGTCCAGAGCAAGATGTTGCCATGCCCGCAGAAATTTGGAACTCATTTTGGCTGGGTAACAACTGCAGAAGAGAGACACTTCTTTTCCTACTTCCAGCATCATTCTATCCCGAGTCTCGTTGGGCTCTCGGATTCACCTCTATGGCAACAATTGGTTCTCCAGATGAGCCACGCGGAACAAGCCGCATACCACGCAGTGATTATGCTGGGCGCTATCCATCAAGTGTCCGAGGAAAACGGAATGCGTCTGACCGGTGCGAATCTCTATAGTATGCGTCATAGGTTCGCGCTAGATCAATCGTCACGGTCCTTTTCCTCATTAAACAAACGAAGCATATCTCATGATCCTCAATTATATCAAGTCCTGCTTCTGTGCTGCTTGCTTTATATCATATCTGAAATCTTATGGGGACACTATGAGAGTGCAATCAGACATCTACAGAGTGGACTAAGGGTCTTGAAAGAATTCAAGGCGAACCAGTCTCTAGAAACCCCCATTGAACAATTCCTGGTGGCTGAATTTACCCGTCTGGATGCCCAAGCTTGTCACTTCGGTGGTGGTAAGCCACAGCTCCATATAGACATTGGCCTGGATGATGAACTACTCGATTCAAGTTGTGCTGTAGCATTCTCTACCATTACAGAAGTGCAGGATGTTTTAAGCCACTTGTTGAATGCTGGCATTCCTTTCCTTGCTCGGTGCTGGAAGCTATCGCCACAAGAAATTATACAGGAATATGAATCATTATCTTTTAATCAGTTGAAACTCCTCTCCCGTTATCATGCATTTATGCACCAGTTTGAAATATTCTGCAAACACTCATATATAGACCTTAATGAAAGAGAGAAACGAAAAGCGGACCTAGTCCGAATACAGTGCCTCTCTCAGACCCTCCCGCTTAAAATCTGCCTTCTTCGCAGCGCTGTCCCAGAAGCTTTCATACCGGAGTATATCACCTTGGTATCGGCAGTTGAAGCCTTGATGAACAAGCTGTCAGCCCGCCCAACTATGACACTCGACGGAGGGGTCATACCAGGACTTTTTATCGTGGCCTCCAGTTGTCCAGACTACCGTGTTCGCTTGCGCGCAATCCGGTCTCTCCTGGTTTGGCCGCATTGCGAAGGCTGGGCAAACTCGAATTTAGCCGCGTATCTTACATTGGAGTCTCTTAAAGCGGAAATGGCAAGACAGGATAAAAAAAACATGCAAAAGGTGGCCGAAGTGGTCGACGACAAAGGTGACAATTATCTGTTGGATACTCTCAGATCTGTTGAGACTATCGCGGACTGGTCCCCCGTCCGTGGCTTTAATGTGCACCTCCCCGTCAGAAAAACTATCGAAAATTCAAAGTGATTGGCTTGTTAGTATAAGAATTACACAAGCCTATCTTCAATAAAATTCCGATGCTGCTTCCAGCAAAGCCGTATTAATAGGTGGAGGGTGAGAAAGGTAAAGGGAACAGAATCAATAGACATAGGCAAGCAATTTCCAAGGTCTGTCGCCTCATATGCCCGACGTTGATGGATTCTCTCCAATTAGTGAACGGTCGCTGATTTCCATATTATCTATAGCATGTTTACATATTTATCTGTCGCTAGCCAAGATATGCCACGGTTTTCTTGTCCCGGCCCATCTCTCCAGCCTTGGGGGTCACTCTGTACTCGGTTGAGATCATATATTCTCTAAAGCAACTGTAAAGCAATATAATTATGCCGGATACGTATTGGAATTACAGTAAAACATATCCAGTTTTATATTTGTAAAATATTAAGGGAGACAAAATGTTAACAGTGCCATAGATTTATCAGTACAATAAAAATAACGGCTTTCACTATTACTGGTTCCATAATAGGACTTGCATTAGCATTTATTCATATGCTGACCCAGCCACAATCCGTGCAGCAATGCGAGAAAACCTCGCAATGTGCTGGCTGAGGCAAGATAAATCCTCTATACTTCCTCCCCAGCTTTGGTTATGTGCTTACCTGACCTGGTTCCGCTCAGATGGCGCCTGTAGCTTCCCCAGTCGGCCATTCAACCACTGTGTACCCAATTGACCTCAGAAGGGCCTGTATCTCTTGCTGTCCATTGCACTAATCCCTCGTCTCCTCACCGTACGCGCGTTCTCCAAGCATAACGCTGACAAAGTGCTGCGGATATTCAAGCATGTCTAACACACTAATATTATAACTGCGGGAGAAATCTTTAAATATAATAGTGTATTGTATGCTGTGGTGAATAATCACACTCTTACTTTGGACCATATTATCGCGTGTGACGCCTACCCGAGCGAGGTTCAGTTAGCTTCTATCCTTGCACAAGTGGTCAATCCAATTAGTCACAGATTATGACGCTGCTAATCGTCAGGTCATCGATTGCCTAGCGTACCTACTTGAGGCGGGCTTCGAGCACCAAGTATTGTCATGCAACAATGTTCTAATGGACCTGGACAGACACATCCAGATTAGTAAGTCTGCATACCGCAATACAAACATCAAGCCGCTTGGCCAGCACTAAATCATTTTACTGCGGCCCTAGAGCACTATATGAAGTGTCAATTAACTTAATTATAAACTTAATGGCAAACCCCAACTATCTGTGGTGCTCCCTCATATTTAGCCTTCTCCAGAGACAACACAACAGGATAAGAATCACTGCGGCTTCTCCTGAATGGCCTGCACCGGGGTTTCCGTTGCTCCCTCCAATACGGCGGTATCCAAGCCGTCGGAGACTCGCGCAATGCCCTCCTGAACCTTGTGGAAGACCTGGAGAAACCTCTGTAGGAGAGCTTCTTGCCTAGTGTAGCGTTGCTCCATACGCTCTTTCTCCTGCTGGGGCTCCATATTAGAGAGTCAAAGCCGTCCGTTCTCCTTTTGCAGGATCTGGTAGCTAGCATGCTTAAGGGTATAAGACTCCCACAGGTGTCAGTACTGGCCAACAAGCCGCGCAGCTTGACTGGCTAACTGCAGATCCTCCTCGTCCAGTCGCCGTATCCCCCGCACCAACGGAAACGAAGGCTCGGCGGCAGCTTGTCGGCCACCATCGGTACATGGCTCGCGTGACTGGATCAGGATACGTTCGTTAGCCAAGAGAGTATCGTTGCATACTGTACGGTTTCTCTTACCTGTACCTGTGTGTGATTTCCTGGATCACTTGCAGGTCGGTCAGATGCCTGCACAGGACCACTCTGTCTAGCGGGGGACGATTCTCGCCGTGTTTAAGTGCCGGTCGTTCTTGGTGGGGAGTTCAGCTGTCCATTGTACCTGAGGAGCTGTGTTCGGAATATGTACGGTACCGGTCTAGGATGGATTGTGTGCAATAGGTAAGACCGTCAATGTCGCACCTAAAAACTCATTGTAGAGTAAACCAATTGACTTTATAGTTAGAGCGGCTTGGTTGCTTAACCCGGCTGGGGATCAAACATCCAATGTATTTTGGCAAACAGCAGGACCACAGCATCGTTTGGTATTGATTGATTGTACGGGTTCTCCTTCCTAATCTGGGGGTATTCTTCACACTTCTATTTAGAAATTATTGAAGATTATCGACCTGCTATATAGGAACCTGGTATCGAGTTTATGCAAGGTAATGCTCCTATTTATACAGCCAATATTATTAAGAATTGGTTTAATGAGAATAGTATTTCTCTTGTTAACTGGCCACTATACTTACCTAACTTGAACTCTATTGAGCATGGCTAGGCTAAGCTAAAAGAGTGTATCTATATTCTTTATCCAGACCTAGAGTAATTTAATGGAACCAAAACACAATTGAAAGAGCAATTTTATAAGGTAATTAAGGATATATGGGAGAGCTTAGGAGAGAATTATTTTGATTCCTTAATAAGATCTTGTAGCGGGCTGAAGCCCGTTAGTATACTCAGGCCGTTGGCCCTCGTTTCCGTATTTCTCACATGGTGTATTGCTGCCCCTCCTTCCTGTCATACCTCATTACCTCACCGTTTGTTGATTCTTCTCCTCTTTTCTTTCTTCCTCGGTGTTTTCTTCTTGTTTAATAGCTATGATGTTTATCGAACGTTGCGGGTCCTATCCCTTACAGATCTATGGAGAGCGGTGTGAATGCAATTTTAGAGACAAAGGAATGGTATACACGCTATTAATATAAATTAAAATATATACTATTCATTATATACAATATAACTATCATATATTTGAGTATCTTATAAAAATAATAATGTCTGGTTATTTTATGAGAGATTATGATGTTCCGATTACTATATATATTTTGGCGGTTGCGGGAAATTACGTAGACTTTTGTGCAAGAACTATAGATTAAAATTACCAGCAAGAAAAGTAGATTATAAGAAATAGGATTCTAGCAGACTAATAAGTGCTTGTATAGCTTTATTAGACTGGATTATAATTATACTAGATAGGGTATTATAGAGATTAAGTATTAGAGCTAATTGCCCTGAGTGTGCAGAGATTTAGAGTAGAAGAAGATCTGATAAGATCTCTTAATCTATCAGATCTAGCTGGAGTTAAAAAGTCTGGATATCTTTCTTCTTCCAGATATAAGTAAGAACTTATGGTCATCCACTTATTATCTAGCTATCTACTAGACTGAAGTCTTTATAAACAGGATTTTTTTTTTATAATTTTTCGGGCAAGATTATTAGATATAAACTGGCAGGTCAAACGTATTGCAACACCCGAAATTCCGCACCCGACCCCCTAATTTCAAACCTCAGTATCTCAACGAATCCTGCATACTTTGAGCTCAAACCTAGTTTTATATAATCCCCATTTCAGTATTTAGTATACAGCCCGAACCCTGCGTGGCCAGGATAGAACTAAACGATTTATAACCTCCTGATCAAGGTCATTCTACAGTCTGAATACTTTGCTTAAATCTCTCCATATCGAGCTCCGATATTCCCTCTAGAAAAAGCTTTGGATAGAGCTTTTTTAGCTTCTGCTTAAGTATATTCTAGAGGTTTTCAATAGGGTTAAGATCAGGTAAATAGGCTGACCATTGGATGGCATTTCGCAATACAACTTTCTTCAACAGGTGTGAGATCCTTAAGCACCGACGGGTAATTCTAACGGAGCTATATTAACAGATAGTAATTATGATGATGACTATACCTGCTAAGGAGCCATTACGGTCCTTAGTACAGTTCAGTTGCGGATGAGACCCACGATAGTAAATGTCTATTTAATGAGAGTCGGATCGAGGCGAAATAAAATTTCCAGAAAGGAATAATCAGAGAACAAATAATTGAGTGCTGAATACGGAGCATAGCGACGGTATTTATACACCAAGCTTCTTAGTTTCGAAGCAGGTCGCTTATACCAAGACTGGGAGGCAAAGAAATACAGGAGGTGAGGTAGTAATATACCGGTCAACCAACCTTGAGCCTAAAGGACTCCAGACCAGTCTTCCTCCTTAATATACTCCTCGATAGTATAGACTGGGACGGGCACACCTAGCTATATTGAATGTAAGAAAGGGTTCTTGATATAGATGTAGCGAAAAGACCTACATCTTTGGGGTAGACAACGCTTGGATCACGACCATCATAGCCGAAGTCTCCGATGTAACCGAACATATCGGCCAGTTCCTCGCCTATGCCACCAGGGACCGCATTTTCAAGGACAGTGCGCTCTAGACGTTGGAAGCGACACGTCACGCCATGAATCTTACCCCACAAGGTAGCGAAATCATCCCAGCTCAACATGCTAGCATAGCCAAGGAGGTTTTTGCCCGGCTCAACCTGCAATAGAGCGTTGACGAAGTTTCCTAGAGCGATATCAGCCAGTGGAACAAAAAAATGCATATAGAGGGACTAACCGGTGTCGTGGCGCGGCTCGACCATAGGAACCGGGGCGTCGCCATCTGCGGGAATGCTTAGCACGAAGGTACCATCGGATTGCTTATATGATGTCAGCTTTTGCCCCTATCTAGGCAGAAGGTACTGTGTCCGCAATATCTCTAGAGATCTAAACTCACCTTGATTGGCCCTCCCATTGGCATGATTTTCCAGTTAGTCATATAGAGCGCTAGTTGCAGGAATGATGTCTTCTTTGCCAGTGCCGGATAGGAGGCCTTCAGGTAATCGACGGCTTCCCACTTCCCGTCAAAGTGAAAATTGTGGGTGTACTTTCCCTTGCTCCATTTCTTCGTGGACGAGAGCGTCGACAGCACAAATCGATCCAAGGTGTCCACGGTTGCATTTGCGGCGTCTACAATATTCCGACCTTGCTGCACCTCAACCTCGTAAGCCTCCACGTTGGCTGGGCGGCCTGTGGCCTGAGCGCGCTCCTGGACTTTGGGGTCGGCCAGGATGCCCCAGAAGTCAGTAACGCCATAAATAACTGTTGACCCCGCAAAGGCCGTCTTTAGGGAGGCGGCATCATTTAAGTCGGCTATAACGAGTTCGACACCCTTGTCTCTCCAAGCTCGGCTTGCGGGCTTGCTCGGGTCGCGCGTAAGGCCACGAACATGCCAGTCTGCCTTGCCAACAAACAATTCGGCAACGGAGGCACCCTTGTATCCGGTTAACAAATATGCTTCTGAGGCCACCTAAGACCTAAGAGTAAGGTTAGGTTTGACTTACCTGGTTGCCCGTAACTCCTACAATAGTAATAATCTTCTTCGCCATATTGATAGCACGTTGAATAGCCTGCTGTTTCAAAGTTTGATAGTTACAGTATAATCACTGGCTTGGATCTGTCTGAATCCATGTTGAGAAGGAACAAGACATTAAATAGGCACGCCATCTTCAAATGGTGATTAATCAATTTGCCCTCCCATGGTCACATCGACGGACTAGTTAGCCTCTCTATAAGTTTGTCAGTCTGCTCTCCAAGTTAAGTAAATTAGTAAGACTGAGTAATCAATTATACTAAGTGTAGGAGAATACATAACAGAATACGGAATAAGAAGTTTATCCGTCGGAAAGTTAAGTAATCGAGACCATTCGGGGAAGCAATCAAAGTGCGCTCTCTGAACCTGACGACACTACTTAAATATTATAAAGAGCAACTCATATTAATCTCTACGGACCCGCCACAGCTTCTGGTGTAACCCTGCCGAGGGCAATCGCTAACTGATGTGCAAACTTTATCAGCGGGTTTGGGGAGGGTCCGGTTACCGAGTACAACACTATTCGTGTGGCTTCTCGGCTGCTCGATCCTCCCGGGTCGGAGGGTTGAGTAATCATATATTCTTTAGCTCGTGAGCCAACGCGTAATACGCATATTATGAGCTCTCTGGGAATCTCTGGGGAATATCTTCAGGAGTTATTTTGCCCTGCCCACCAAGAAAGATATCCTCCTAGACAAGCCCGTGCCTTGTCCACTTTCCGCCATATTCCTTAGGCCTCCAGTCGAAAGGCCCCCTTCCTATCCTAAGTTGGTACTCTTATGGGACAAACAGAGATGGATCTTCCTATCTAAGCGTGCCGTACGAACAAGAAGGAATAGCTGAGGAACGAAAGAACTGCGGAGAGTCTGGCGGGGAAAGGAACAGGAACCACGTGGCGTATGTTATGGGCTCAACCCATAACACTTATTGGCCAGCCCCAGGTCGTACAGGCCAATCGCCCTTCTCTCAGTCCTGGGCAAAGGTCTTGAACGCCTAATAGTACGGAACATGGCAGGGGTTGCCATTCATTACAAAGTACTAGCTAATCAACAGTTTGGGGCCCTGCCTCTCCGCTCTGCCATTGATCTTACTACCTGTTTATTACACGACGTGGAGCAAGCACTGAATCAGGGTTTAACAGCTTTGCTACTTATCCTTGAAGTAAAAGGAGACTTTGACAGAGTCCTTCCCAGAAGACTTATCTATAGACTACGCATGCAGGGATGGCCAGATAATCTTACTCGCTGGGTTGCCTCCTTTATTACAGGGCACTCAGTACAAATCCAACTTGATGGCAAACTCAGACCTATAACAGAGATACTTTTTGGTCTGCTACAAGGCTTACCAGTATCACTAATCCTATTTATGCTCTAGCTATCCCCCCTTTTCTAATTAGGCTGTCCAAAAGCTAGATTTGGCTATACAGATAATACAGTGATCTTGGCTATCTCTCTGTCTCTAGAGACTAACTGCCAGAGTCCATCAGAATCCCTATAAGGAATCCTAAACTGGGGCTCTATAGAGAGAATTACTTTCACGCTAGATAAATATAAGTTAATATACTAATATAAAGATCTTTACAGACAGCTCTAAACTAGTAAACAGGATAGTAGATATTGGCTTTACTCTATACTAATTTAGAAAGTAATTTCTATAATCTTTCTTTCTTAGCCTAAATAGAAAGATTTTCAATACTGAAGCTAAAGCAGTATTAGCTGGGATTAAAGTAGCTTTTAAGTTTTATATAGTATACTTTACTACTAATCTCTAGATTTATTTAGATAATCTAGAGATAGCCACACGGCCTGTTATTTTTTACAGGTTTATTATAAGAGATTTTTAAATCCTTCCGGGCTATATCTTAACTTAGCTTGAATAAGAGAGATTTCTATACACCGATAGTAGCTCTATACAGGTTCTTTAGGTCCCTGGACATATAGATATTCCTTAAAATAAAGTAGCTAATCTAGTGACTAAAAAGAAAGCTGCTATAGACCCTTCTTTGAGTAAATAGTCATATACCTTACTAAGACATTGCGCTAAAGCTGATACTGTGTCTGCTCTTTAAAGACACTGGCAATCTGCAGCTCTATAATCTTACCAGGATCTATAGATTACCTCCTCCTCCCAGTGCCCTGACGAGCTACGAATACCACGCCCTGTACTCACACAGATCCTGGCAGCCCGTACAGGATATAGTGACTTTACAACTTATTATGAGTATTTTAATCATGAAGATGCATGTCTTCTCTGCCGCTATGGTGCAAGAAAATCCCCTATACATTTCTTCTTCTGCCATATTGCAAAGAGATGCCAGCCGTGATCTCCAGGTTCCCCCTCTGAATTCCTACTTACTAGGCACTTCAAAAGGCGTAGTTAAGCTAGCCGGCTCACTATCTGAGACCTGTTTCTTTGAGGATATTTGCCCACAACACCTCCTGTCTCAGCAAGACTGAGATACTATATCTCCTTTCTTTTCTTCGTTTTCTTTGTTTTTCTTTCTCTTCAAAAAAAAAAAAATACTACACAGCGGAGGCAGAATGGGTCATGGAGTGTAGGCGGACCCGTGCAGCTGGCATTACCCCTCTACCTGCCATCGCAGGCTCTCTTGTTCTTCCATTTCTTGACTACGGCAGCTATGTAAACGCGCCAAAGTCCCCTACATATACATAGAACCAGAACTAGCAGCTAGTTAGAGACACCCAGGGCTTACCCCCTGGCGGCCTTTGCCCCAATAGGGGATGGTGGGCACATGCCTCGGCGGTGAACCACGGCCGTTAAATATAACCTAACCTAACCTAACCATAACACTTATTATTAGGACCCGCAGACTAAAGATTTCTCAACTTACATCGCACCGCAGCGGTGCGGGTTGAGTAAATCACGCTCGGAAACACGCGCCAACAACCATAAACTGACAGAAATCAAAGAAGAATTGTTTTAGAAACGACTATTAGATGTAGATAAACGAGGATGTCTAATTCGACCTGAATTTCAACGTGGAATGGCTGAGATATTACTTCGTGCGTGTCTTCGAGATTCAACAGCAATGATTGGAATCAACTGGCCCTATAATTTATTAAACACCATCCCCAGATACGTACGCGACACAAAACGAATGACATATCAACACGCAAAGCAGGAAGATCCAAGAGTTATAAACCCTTAGTTTCAGACTGTACAAATAGCTATTCAAGAACACGGCGTACATGATGATGATACATATCTGGAACTTCGACGAAACTGGCTTTGCAATATGACTCTGCTCTACCTCTAAAGTGATTACTGCAATTGAGCGAAGGGAGTGACTGCGAAGAGTTATTTAGGGCAATCGTGAATGGGTTACAACCATCGCAACAATCGGGTCAAGAGGCATACATCTGCCACCAGTCATTATATTGAAAGCAAGCTATCAACAAGCTACTTAGTTCCAAGAACCTAAGCTTCCTGGCGACTGGTGGCTTGCAACTAGTCAGAATGGCTGGACAACTGATGAGATAGGCCTTCTCTGGCTGGAAAATGTTTTCGAACCGTTTTCTAAACGCTATATGACTGGTGCTAAACGGTTGCTTATTCTTGCCGGCCACAGCAGCCATTTGACTGCTGAATTCGATGATTTTTGCAAGCAGAATGCAATAATCTGTCTTTGTATGCCTGCCCATGCCTCGCAGCTTTTTCGACCGCTTGATGTGGGTGTTTTTAACCCGCTTAAAAGGGCCTACGGAAAGATTCTTGAAGAGCGTATAAAAGTCGGCAACAACCACATCGATAAAGACGACTTTTTATCGCTATATACAGACGCATGTAAGAAAGTCTTTGCTTTAGATAATATCTGCAGCGGCTTTGCAGGAACAGGGCTTAAGCCGTTTTAATCCAGAGTGTATTCTCTCGAAGCTTACTGTACTTTCCGACTACCGTACGCCTACACCCGCACTATTACTAGTTGGAAGCGTGATGTCCTCTGTTTTTCAGACTCCGCATAATACTCGCCAGTTAGATCGAAACGTCCGAAGCCTGCAGAACAGCCTTAATAAAAGCGGCAGTTTTCTAGCAGTCCTATTGCTTATATTCAACAACTGGAGAGGCCGCGCAAATGGCAATGCAAACCAAGCTTCCTTTAGAGCAAGAAGTCAAGGCTTTACAAGCTTAAAATGAGCGTGCTGGACCAGGTAATTACGCCCTTCTTTGCGTACAGGAAGTTTATAATCGCGTTTAGCAGCTTGATACGCGGCTTAATAAGTAACCTGCGGAACTACTCCGGTGCCTTATTGACGAGCTCCGCAATGCCGTAGTGGCTGTGGAACAGTTGGACATACAATTCGAAATAGCCCTAGTAAATAGCTATATTTTCATATATTTAGTTAGTCAAATTTAATGGTGTTGGTGATTGAAAAACCTCGGGAAGCGGATGTTTTGATGGAGAGGCCGCGGCTCGGTGGTAGGCCCGGCTCGGTAGTTGAATACATTACAGTCCACGAGTTTTGAACAGGGTACATGCCCCACATGTTTTGCTACTGGGAGAACTTCAGAACATCAATTTCCGTCCAGAGAATTAAGCTCTTTGCTTCGTGTCATACAGCCAGCGATGATAGAGGTCAGTAATAGGCAACACCATAGAATAAATAATAGGGCGAATAGGATGTTAAGGCTCAGTAATGGGCGTGTTCCTACGTACAGGGGCAGTGGATTAATAGTATAGAGAGGCGGTAAAGAGATAGCGGTATGGATATGGGAATGGAAGTACTGTATTCCAATACGAACGGCCACTGTAACAGGTATTCGGCCCAATATTGCCAAATTTATGATGCTTATATCAAGTATTTTGGACCATTCTTACTAGTTAAACCGTATCACTCTCCTCTGCTCCACTTATTACGATGCAAATTGCCCTTTCTGTTAGAGGGCCGAACACTGGCTGGACAGAAGGGAGGTTTAAATAGATCCCAGACATGTGTATGAATGTTTTCTGACACAAGATTCAATTTCTTTGCAATTGCGTCCATTTCTTTTCCCTATTTTGCGCTCGCTCTAATTCATCACCAACGTTGATCTATACTGCTCATAGGTCACAGCAATCCTAAAGATTCTCTTTTAGCCCCCTAAATACCCTTTCTCCAGAAAAAGGAAAAAAGAAAGGCGATGCCAAATACCTGCCAAAACGCTACTCCCGGCGAAACAAACTCTCCCACACAGGAAGCTATGACTCCAGAGCAGATCGATGCTGATCTACTGGCGACTCACGAACGAATCGCCAAGCGTGAAGCGCTTCGTGTCGCCCGCGAAAACCTTACCCGTTTTGAAGACGAGGTTCTTAACCCGTCTGGAGCGACTTCAGTAGTGAATCAACATCATCTCGACAACTATGAGCCGCAAGAGCGCGTAAAGGAGATCAAGATCGATAATATTTCTATCTTTACGTTGAGCTTCGATCTCCAGAGGCGCCAGGACTGGCTCGTTGACGTACGTTGCGCTTTCCGGAGGGACCCTCAGAGGTATCAGACCGACGAAAAGAAAATCCTGGCGGCTCTAAATTTCCTCGATCGTTCTTGTCGGTATGAATGGTACCGACACGTCGTAGGAAAACCTCTAGAAGAACGCCAGCACATTGAGGGGTCATGGCAATACTTTGAGGACTGGACACTCACCCTTACCCGGAACGCAACTAGTCTTCAAGCCGATGTGACGGAGCGCAAGGCCAGTGGCTTGGATTAGTGACCAATATCGATCGCACGATGCAAATGGGGACGGAAGGCGGTGGTTGGAATATCTATTCAATAAGGGCGTTTTAGGCAAATGTCTTATCGCATTTTATTATTGGAGTCTTTCTGAGTATCAGCTCACCGACATGAATATTCGAGTATATTCAATGGGTCTTAAGGCCACGCCGGGACCCCGACAAAATCATATCAACAGCAACGAGCTGTGAAGAAATTAAGGAGATCGAATCACTTTCCCCAAACTGTCGAGGAAACAGAGACCTGCAATTAACTTATAGAGAAGGCTGTTCGCAGGGATATTATAAATCCACGCTCTAGTCATTAGGTGAAGGAGATAACTGTTCTCATATAGGTCGCATGTAAGCTTCGTTTAGGTAGAAGCCGCCGAATAGCTTTTAGACCTCAGGGGCAAACCCTTGCAGGCGTGGTGGCTCTGGAGCAGCCCCAGGCCGAGACCTGGAAATACCACACCACGTCCTCACCAGGAACGTGGAGCTGCTGTGTCCAGTCATGGTCCAAATCGAACAGGTGCGTAGTGCGTATCAGTATATTTCTGCAGTGCCCCAATGTCTGCGGCCAACTGATTCAGATCCTGCTCAGTCCACTTATGTAATCGCACTATCAGCATCTACTGTGCAACTGATATGCTTTACAGACCTCAAGCAGCCATGTGAGATAAGAAGTGTGTGTTTTGAACGGAACAAGTCGCCTGTCACTACAGTATTCTACGTGAACGCATTCGAGTATCGTGGCAAAGGGTGCAGTCATGATCGGCGCTTTTTTTTTTGTAGGGAGACCACATACATATGTAATAAGGCGATTCATATAGGGAAAGCGAAGATCGGGCAAGAGAGGTCTGGTTGCGCGAAAGAAGAAGAGCTACCTGCAAAAGCCAGGAAAATGTCTCCCAGATGCGGTTATACAAATCAAGAAACCCAAAGTCCATGGAGGCTTTGACTACGCTGGTACAGCCACTGTTGTCCGAAACTAATTCAAAACTGAGAACGATGCTCCTCCAGCCTCGGTCATGTCTGTGGCTTACGGTCGTATCAGAAGATACAGACTCCATATATCTTAATTTTCAAGTAACATGCCGTCAGAGTTCAATCAAGCAAAACCCAGATGCATACACCAAGGCCGTAACGTACATTGTGACGAGACACGGCGTCAAGGCCGAGCATACGACTGAAAAGAAAAGACCGGTCTCTTTTGCTAGACTAACAGGTTCATCCACATCCGCGGCGAAAAGAAGAGTAAAGGAAAATTGGTATGGAGCAACGGAAAATCAACTAGATAGCCTGGAATTCGGACCAGGCGAATGCTCACGTTGAGTGCCGTGCCTAATTTTAGGCATAAATGAGGAACAACTGGGCCTTTGGATGATGCTTTAAACATCCAATACCCCCTTTCTCCGTTAAAAGACTAAAAAGCCGGTATCCTGAAAGACATGACAACATGCCTTCAGCAAAAAGCTCGCCATCTGCATATGATACTGTGTGCTTTGTCCGCAGTGCTTAGCTTTTATCTCGTCCTATTTTGAATACAGGTCCCAAGGTAGAATTTCTCCCAGTTATTATTATTATTTTATTTTTTTTCGATAGTTAACTTCGTCTTATGAGGATCATGTCTGTGGCAACGCCGCCGGTTTTCCAAAGTCGAGTTGATGAGAGTCTTCCAATGTTTTTATTGCCACTATAACATACTCAGCTTCGGGCGCTTGGAATTTTCCAGAGGTATGGGTAAGCCCTCACAAGTTTCGGAGCTTGAGAGATCCAGCGTTGCGCTGCAACTTCTGTCATAGCAATGATTTTCTTGATAGCTTTCTTTTACATCTCAAGTGTGGATTCAAGCGGTACTAGTAGACCCTCGGCACTCCGGACAGTGATAAGCATACAGACTTTGGCATCCTGCTATGAGAGGCTAGTTTTAGATGCGCAAGCCAGTACTGTACGTTAAAACAATAAATAGCTATTTCCAGGGCAAAGTGAGGTCGGAATGCACTTCAATGCATAAGCTATATCTATAGATGCGACCAAACTGGCCTTTTCTTTGCAGAGAAGGAGGACATTCCTGTGGGAATTGATTAGCAACGGCGCATGCTTGTATGCCGTTCACGGCTATTAATGCGGATAGGGTAAGGCCCCGCCTACCAATTTTCTGGTCCGCTGTTCCGAAGAGTCCATGAAAGAGTCGCCGTTCATAATCCGTGCCCTCCTTGAGCGACAACTCCTGGCTCTTACTGACCACCTCCTTGGCCGCCAGCACCGCAACCCGGCTGTAGCTGGCGATTTGTTCCGCCGTCTCTATCGCAGCAGCGACTAGTTCTCCTCTCCCTCCGTCGACCACTTTGGCGGCGAGACCCCACTTCCCTGCCTCCTTTCCACTAAAACTGTGGCCTGTTAGGATCAGTTCCATAGCTTTGCTCTTTCCGACGATTCTTGTCAGCCGCTGTGAGCCTCCAGAACCGGGAACAACCCCCAGCTTTATCTCCGGCTGACCAAATGTTGCATTGGTGGTACAATAGAGGATGTCCGCCATGAGCGCGAGCTCGCAGCCTCCACCCAAGGCGTAGCCGTCGACTGCCGCAATGACAGGTTTCCGGATGTTATTCGCAAGGTGCGACCACGAGGCAGTGTAGTTCTCCGAATACGCAACCGAGAATGTCATCTCCGCCATCTCCTTTATATCCGCGCCCGCTACAGATGGATACGCAGGGGTACCAGATCAGCCCACTGCACTCGACAACTCTGATAGCTGTGGGGTTTCAAGCATACCAGCGAAGGCTTTCTCATTACCGGTTATGATGATCGCACCAATGCTCTTGCTTTCATCGAAGCGGGACAGCGCGTCGTTGAGTTCCCTAATCAAGGCATTACAGAGAGCATTGAGCGCCTGGGGACGGTTGAGGACAACTGTGGTCGGCAATGAGCGAGGATCCTGATACCATCCGGCAGGCCTAGTATATCTAGTCCACCATCCGCCTGACGAATGACAACGGAACTGTTAACTTACTCAGTCCTACCCCCGGCTTCGGAGCGGAGCAAATGATATGCTTGTACGTTATCGATACGGCTGAGGACTCCATTTGGGCTGTCCAAAAGAATGGTAAGCGTATGTCTGTTCTCTGGTAGCACTTGCGACAGAGACTGACGAGACCGGAACAACGCAGCGAGATGTCGTTTATTTTATTTATTTATTTATTTATTTTTTTTTGGCTTGAGAACGCGGTTAATCGATCACCTCGACCTTGCAATCGTGCAGACCGGTCAGTTAACCGGAAACCAGATGGTCTTGTAGCAGAGTCGTCCCAGTGTGACTGAGTCGCGGAGCGCACTTCGCGCAGCAATCGGTGCCGTGTGAGACCTCGGATAGCTATGGCCCGCCTCGTCCTCGGTAACAAAATCAGGTTGTGGTCTGGTTTGGTGGTATTGTTCTGCCACTACGATGCCACTACGATGCGCACTACTCGCACATTAAGGTTGGGCCTGATTTGGCCGGAATCCACCCGTATTTAATAACTTACATCTTTCCTGTTTAATACTTTCTTGGGTAACATAACCGAGTGGACCACTTTACCTGTACTCGTCCTTTGTTTTTCCTTCTACACCATTCAACCACCCTCTATTCCAGTAATTCGAGCTCAAAATGCGCAAAAGTCTGTCTAGAAGGACAACAGGGTCTCATTAACTATCAAAGCTTCAAGGCTGCAACAAAAATAAGAAACCTTCATTATCCGTAAGCCGCACACTGTTTCGACATACCGCATACGACGCTGCAGAACCACCTTACTGATCACAAATTCCGATGTAAAGCACTCGCCAACGACCATAAATTGATACAACCTGAACAAATTCGCCTATTAAGGAGCTTTTGTCTAAAGAAATTCGTGTATGTCTTCCTCGGATGGCCATGGTATGAATGGCCAATTTACTGCCCGCTACTCATCCAACTACCCCTAATAAACCTCCTCCATCCATTTCTTAAATTTGTCAAACGATAACAAGAAGTACTCAAATCATGTTACTCCCGCAGAAACCACAGTCAACGTACTCACTGTGAGGATCCAAGGTTATTCAGGGGCGGTTAGACCGTGTCCGGCAGATGGTTAAGCAATATGATATATTGCCTCGGAGGATATCGCTAACTTTGCTGAGACCAGATCTGCGGTGGGTATGATCTTAAATGTGCACATTGATGAGATCATTAATCAGCATGCGCGCGTTAGGATCGATCATATGGACATGTTCAGTTTCTTACTGCATATCCACGCGCACGGGGAAGGTGCACTTAATCCAACTTTAACTACTCGGAACCGTCTTGGATCAACAGGACTAGTGTCATTCAGTCCTGTCGGGGTGCTTCCTAGGCTTAGTATTTGACTAAAGGCACCAACACCTTCCCTAAGCCGTGGCTGCTATCGTTCAAGTGTTTTTCGTCACAGCAACACCATAAAGTCTTATACAACTACAAAAGTAGGCATATCTAATTAATATCTTGCTCAAAACGCGGTCTGAAAGCTCTCTTGCACCTACTAATGGAGCAACCGATCGGCATATCAAAGGCGTAAATTAGCTATGCAAGGTACATTGCCATTAGCGTGGACAACGCACGACTTACGTACTGTAAATGCAAAGGCACACAAGGTATACTTGACACCTCGTATATAAGGGCGACTTGTCAGTTGAAGAGGTCTGTACAATGATATAGAACTCACAGCACAGTGCTGAACCCAACGCATCTGTGATGGGTCAAAGCAGGACTTGATGAATATAACTTGGCCAAGTGCAAGCTACCGAAAGCTTAAGGAGGAAAAGAGAGTAATGTGAAGAGCACGGCAGAAGTGCAGAAGCAGTCAATTGCACTCAGAGTGTCCTTGCCCGCGATGCTGCTGTCGTGTACTGCTTATCATGTCGTACAGCCGGCAAAAGGAATATCTATAGCCCAGCTATGCGTACCTACACGTACGTGATTCCAACCCGGCCCTAGCATGTTACAGCAGGGCACTATCCTCAAGGCTAGCGAAGATGGCATGGCAGATCAGGGATTGGAATTACCTCTAAATAGAAGAGTGTTTTTATATCTCTTGTCAGATCAACTGCTTGCAATACCAAAAAAAAAAAAAAAAAAAAAAAAAAAAAAAAAAAAAAAAAAAAAAAAGGAAAGAAAAGAAAATAAGCGCACCAGTGTCTCACAACGATACCTGAATGAATACAGTCATGGTGATATCTTGCAATAGTCCTCAAGAGGCAAAAAGAGACCGATTCCCCACCACATCACAATATGGCGTATAGCACAGACTACCTTGTATACTTAGACCACCTGATCGCCCTTATACATCTCAAAGGTCGGGATATTGATGGGCGTGGTATTTCCCGCCCAGAGCCCGGCAGATCCGGCCCAGTCTGCGATTTTGGTTAATACCACCTTGCCGACTCCTCATTCTCAAAAGAGACCAGAAATGTTCGGACTCACAGGTAAGAAATGCGACAACCAAGCCAAACGAGTACCGAGCTGTTAGCAGTGCAGAGCTGCCAACCATGTTCCCGCACGCAAGAAGCAACAAACAAACGCTCAAGGAGACTAAGTCCAGAAACAAGACCCAGGAAGAGCGCACTGCCCCAATAGATAATATCACTGTCAATATAAACCACGCCGGGAGAAAGATAGCCAAAACTTGATCAAACTCGTCTCGTATCGCTCCTGTTTTAGGATCAGTATATGCCGCCATGATCCCTGTTCCTGGTAGGTAAATCATTGCATATGAGAAATTAAAGGCGGCATATGAAGGGAATAAGGTAGCACCAAACTATTCAGATAAGAGTTAGGAAATACCAATAACTTGCTAGCCTCGAATTAGCAAATAAGTGTATCAACCTACTGTATTGCCGCTGAGAAATTCTATGACCCCAGCAATAAATTGACAGACTCCAGAAAACATCAAAACTCCGATGAGTATATTGGGTGTTGTAATTGAACGAGCATGAAGCCCCATAATGGAGATAAGAAATATACCTTTGGTCCACATAAGTAAATGCTATCAGCAGGCCCCACGGTGTCCGACATGGGTGCGAGATTGGGCAAGGCAAAAACAGTATCCAAAATGCTTGTGTTGACCTTTTCGTGTCGTTCAGGAACCGAACACAGATAATCTGCCAGAGGACTTGCATTCCTCTGGGTTGCCAGTTTTATATTATTCATGGCAATTGGAATTCGTTGTCCCAATATTACCAACGCGCAAGCGGGGTCCCCATGTTCTGGCGATCATGTACTAACTACCCCATGGGGCCATTGGATATGGCTCGTATCGATTTGAACTTAATTCGACAGATCAGACTAACTAGGTCTACGGGAGGGGCAAAGTTCAAGCGGAGCCATGAACCGGACTTTTTCTCATCCTAAAAAAGAGCCTGTAGATCGCTTAAATTCTAACCTCGGAGATTCGGGATCTCCGGGCCAAGGTTATCGGCCTAGTAGAGTAGCCCTAGTATTTCCTCGGCCGGTAACTGCCGATCAATAAATTACGCTGTATATACGTTATTTAAATAATTAACGTAATCCACGGCCGAGCGACGAATACGGCCGAGTGACGAATTTTCGCCGCACCTACTACAATTCGACACTTTTCAACTATAAAAATAGGATTTAACTAACCTAACTAGTAGTGGGATATAAAGCTATTTACTAGGGCAATTTCTTATAGTATGTCCAACTATCCCACAGCCACTGCAGCGTTGGGGAGCTCGTTGTCGAGGCATAGATATAGGTTGCTCAGACTGCTCATTAAGCTGTATATTAAGCTGCTGAACCCGATTTTGGCCTTCCTGTATAGATAAAAGAGTGTTATTACCTAGTAAAGCATGTCTTCTTGTCTTTTTCTTTGTTTTCCGCTCATTTTCAGCCCGTACAGCCTTAATTTCTTGCTGTAAAAGAAGATTGGTATGCATTACCATCTGCGCGGCTTTCTCAAGATGTTAAATATGAGCAATTGGGCTACTAGAAAGCTTTTATTTTGCACTAAGGCTATTCTGTAGGCTGCGGACTTTCTGATCCAGCTGGCGAGTATTCTGAGGAGTTTGAAAAGCAGAAGAAATTAAGCCCTCAACTAGAGGTGGTGTTGGCGTACGTGGTTGAAATGTAAGCTTAGAAAGAACTCGCTCTTGATTAAATGGCTTAAGTCCTGTCCCTTCAAAACTGCTACAGATATTTACTAAAGTAAATACCTTAGCTCGCGTGTCTGGATAAAGAGACAGAAAGTCTTCTTTATCAATATAATTATTGCCAGCAACCATATGTTTTTCTAGGAGCTTTCCGTACATGCGTTTGAGCGGGCCAAAAACACCAACATCAAGCGGTTGAAGAAGCTGTAAAGTATGTACAGGCATGTAGAGACAGATAATTGTATTCTGCTTGCAGAAATCATCAAATTCAGCAGTTAGATGGCTGCTATGTCCATCTAAAATAAGTAACCGCTTAGTACCAGTTATATAGCGCTTAGAAAACGGTTCAAAGATATTCTTTAGCCAGTAAAGACCTATTTCATCAGTTGTCCAGCCATTCTGGCTAGTTACAATCCACTAGTCTTTAGCTAGCTTAGGTTCCTGGAACCAGGCAGCTTGCTGATAGCTTGCTTTAAGTATAATAACCAGTGGGATATGTATACCTTTTGAACTGATTGTTTTAATAATAGTAACCCATTCTCGGTTACCCTGAATAACTCGGCGTGGCCGCTCACTGCGATCAACTGCAGTAATAACTTTAGAAGTAGAGCAGAGTCCCATTACAAAGTCTGTTTCATCAAAATTCCAGATATCATCTTCATGAATACCATGTTCTTGAATAGCTTCATGTACTGCTTGAAACCATGGCTTTATAACCTTTAGATCCTCCTGCCTAGCACGTTGATATGTCATTTATCTTGTATATCATATACATAGCTCAGGACGGCGTTTAATAAAGGAATAGGCCCAGTTAACTCCAAGAGATACAGTAGGATCTTGTATATATCCACAAAGTAAAATCTGGGCCATTCCATGTAGAAACTCTGGATAAATTGGAAATCCTCGTTTATCTGTGTCTAGTAGCTGCTTAAGAAGCGATTCTTCTTTAATAGCAGTTAATTTATAACCTGTAGGGCGTACTTCTTTGCGTGGTTTTCTCCCTTTAAGACGCGCACGAAGAGTAGCTTCAGGTACACCAAAAGTCTCTGCAGACTTTAGGATTAATTTAATTTGCTTGTTTTTATAGGCTAAAATAGCCATTTGGATGCGATTCTCCTGAGATAAAGGCATTTTTTTGAATTGTATTGATAAAAAAGACGCGTTGAAGAATATTAATTTAGGAGAGGGAGAAAATTCGTCACTCGGCCGTATTCGTCGCTCGGCCGTGGATTACGTTACTGGCAGTTTGGGGTGAGCTTATGTAAGTGCCGGATTTGTAAACCTGTCGGTGAGAGGGTTCCCGAATTGACTAACCTGGAATCACTCCTTATCGAGTCACAATTATTCCGCTAATTATAATATGATAGCTCAGCTACTCGCTATTTCACAGGTGAGCCTCCTCTCCCCGGCCGCACCTGTTACTCATAAACTCAACAAACATTTGTAGATTATTGTAGAAGCACGCGCTTCGCACGCCTACAATAATGATTACTTCACTGATAATGGACATGGAATTATCACATACTACTGCTAAGGTATCTTTCTATGATTACTTATGATACGAGCTATTATAATTGAGAGTTATCCGTCAAGGCACGTATATTGATTAACCTTTGCTTAACTGACATGAAAAGGAGCAGCTAACATCGACAAGGTTAGTCACCCACAAGTGTATCTCCACGATTGAAGGAAGTCAATGCTCTCCAAGTATAAGTGTCAACTGTATGCTATCGGATCTCCAACCGAATCAGACATTCTCCTCTTCGCATCTGGATTAAGCTCAACAGCAGTTCAAGACAGTGGGCTTATGAGGCCTTTACAATTCACCTCAGCTATTGTAGTCTGATAGTGAACTGATCGAGCGAGTTGAACTGTATCAATATAATTGAGCCGATTCACATCCAGTGAGGGCAAATCTCATTCTGCTAGTCTCAGGTGTTCCTTAGGTATTTACTTCAAATGGGCCGGTAAGATTATTCTTTGTCTGAGCCGGTGGCGGCTGAGAGCAAAGCGAAACAATTCAGGATGAATGAGTTGGTTGATTGAAGCGAATGACATGCCTCGGGGGCAGGTTAAAATATCCCTGAATGTGCCGACACTCAGTGGTTAGACCACTAGGTATACAAACAGTACAAACAGAAAGAAATGTGGGTCATTGATAACCAATCGATTTGCTAGTTAATGTACCCCTCCATACGCTGACATTCTCTTTTCCTTTAGTGGCATACTCCTGGTGACTGAAATATAGGGTTTCTTCCCCATCCCCCTTCAAAGCCGTCAACGTGGTCCAGCTCTCCCCTACACAACTCAATCCGTCTTTTACCACTCTATTTTGGCCTGGTTTCCCGTCGACTTCTTTGCAGTAATAAAGGATCCTCTGTAGGGAAGGCCCAACATGAGCGATAGCCATAATACGCTATTTCATTCTTCACGCACGGCAATCCCCAATCCACGGCGCAAAAGAGGCCGGGTAGCCTGTGACTACTGCCATTCACGTAAAGTCAGATGTGATCTCACTCTAAACGGCGTTCCCTGTACAAACTGCCGCCTTGATAAGCGGAAGTGCTTCGCGTGGAAGCCCCGCAACAAGTGAGACCCTTGAGCCTATTTTCTGAGAGGACAAGACTAAACTTGTTCATCAAAGGCTTCAGAAAAAGCATACCAGCAAGGCTCCCACCTCAGAGGCTCATCACAATACCACAGCGACCGTGACCTTCCCAGATCCCAGGCTGGGAGTGAGTTGTGATTTTCCCCTGCCTCCTATTTCGCTATCATCAACCCACGGTGCGTCTTTCCTATATGAGGATGAGGATGAGGATTCAACAAGGGGACTGTTACTCCGGGATCGGCCTTCAGACCGCATTCCGGACTATCCGTCACTTCGGCAGAACGGTTCGAGCGCGAGCCCACCTTGCTTTTCGGTTCCTTCAATGCTGGGTGAGACTGCGTCCGATTCAAGCCGGAGAATCTCAGACAAAAGTGTCGTTTTCTCCTACTACGAATTCCTAGAGTTGAAGGCTCTCCCCAATCTGCTATCGGTGGACGTCACATATCTCGAATCGAAGGGGTGTTTTCGAGTCCCCAGCGACAGCTATCTGGATGCTTTCATGTTGGAGTATTTTCTCCACGTCCATCCCTGCGTGCCAATTCTCAATGAGGCAGACTTTTGGAACTTATACGGACACAAAGATGGCATGCTTGGTGCCTCCAAGGTCTCCCTGTTGGTCTTCCAAGCGATGCTGTTTGCTGCCTCCGCAGTATGTAAAGCGGGTTCCTATCATAATGATGGTACTGATGCAATTCATAGTTTGTTCCCCTGCGCACGCTACAGGCCTGTGGTTTTAGAGACTCTCACGAGGCTCGGGAAACTCTTCACCAACGTGCTGCTGTAAGAAACACAGAGCCCCTCTACTATGTTCCGCTAATGAAGCTGTTTGAGTAGTTACTCTATCAGTTTAAAGCGGAACCAAATTTAGCTTGCATCGCGCAGGCATCCTTGTTGTTGTCGTTCCACTCATCCGCTCGTGATGTTTATAACAATACGTCATTCTTATCTATCGCTATTCAATGCGCTCGTGCAGACCGTGCCCACCTTTACAGCGTTATTCCCAAGATAAGTCCACGAGAACGACGGGATAAAAAGAGACTGTGGTGGTGTTGCTTTGTACGAGACCGAGTCATTGCGCTTGGGATGCGGCGGCCCCTTCAGATCACCCCGGACCAATTTGATTACCGTCGGGAACCTTTTGAAGAAGAAGATATAAAATGCGAGGTTGGACAATCTAGGGTTTACGATCCAGAAACCAAGCGGTCGCTCATCAAGATCTTCGTTGCGCAGTGTGAACTGGCAGCCGCGCTCACATCAACCCTCCTGGCCACCTATCCACTGGACAGAATTTCTATGTCACTGTCGCACACAAGTACTGATCTAATGGGGTTATCTAGCGTAGTACAGAGCTGTAGACAGGACCTCAATGCGTGGTTCGATGCGACGGAGGCACGATTAAAGCACAACTCAGGGAAGGACGTTCTGGGTGTTGACTTTGTGACGCTTTACACTGATCTGTTGTGGATATATTACTTGTAAGTGGGACATTATCTCCGGTGGCGTTATGACAGTTAGCTTATTCCGCCTAGTACCGCTCGGATGGCGCTGTGCCATTTCATTATATATATATCCAGCATGTGCCGTACTCGCAACCCGGACTGGATGTCACAGTCAAATATCAGCAACAGTGATCTCAAGTCAGCCTTCACCGGTCTGAAGGATGTCTTCAAGAGGCTGGTGGCATCAAACCTCGCTGGCCATCTTCCGATTAGCGCGTACGCCACCTTCATATCGTCAATGTCCATTTTGTTGTCACGAAAGCGGCGAATACTGATTGATTGCAGATCTGCGTATACAGCACTACCTCTGCTATTAGTCTCTCTCGACGTTTGGCTGTCATCATCGGAGTACCAGAAGAAAAGGCATATGCAAGACCTCTCGCATTGCGCGGAGGCCATGCGACAATACGAACGCCGTTTCAGCTTCGCCAAGTTTGTAACCGAGATAGTTCGTAAGGTTGTTCAACTTGTGGACCACGAATCACTGTCAAAACCTCGGTCTCCAATCAACAATATATCCGGATTATCCGGATTAGCCGCTCCTACACCAAACCACCCACCTCGAAGCTGGAGCGAAACCTATTCACAGAACCCTCAACTATATTTCAAGCTCTTATTCTCTCTGGACCATTTCCTATCTTACGGGAACGTACCGTCTCCAGGTGAACCCCCCGATTGGTTTCTTGGGCAATCCCCCCCCCAGCCAAATAAACCACTGGAGGCTACAGACCAAGAAAACGGAGATTTGGAGCCTCTAACAATGTCACGCGCTTTCTCTCCGGATTTATTCGGACGAAGCGTGCCTTCTAAGTGCCCATCGAACGAGCAGAGGGAAACCTTCCAGTCGATCGCTCCGAGTTTATCGCCACCGGTCTATCCCGAGACGTCTCCACAGCCTGAGCATGAGCATACCACAGCCGGATCTCAATCAAATCTTAGTTCCTTGTTCTCTGATGATACCAATACACATTTCAATGATATTGGGGTGGATGCTGGTGACGCCCAACCAATGTTCGATACACTTTCTTTTCTTCTCCAGTATTCTTGTCCCTCTATTGGATAGTGCGAAGGAGAAGTAGGTTTGTGTGAGAGTTCGAATTGCCCATTGGGGCGACAAGTATAGGGAACTGTCCTCTTCTGGTCGATGTCAGTACAGCAAGGTGTATATACTTTTCAACGCCGTTTCCTACCGCTACAGAATGATCACAAGTAGCCCAGCTCCCCAGACCAGCGAGAGACATGTGTGTGCCGAAGCCGACATTCAGATTGAAATAGAATCGACGATGCCTAGGAATGTATTTACAAAGCTGGGACCTTATGGTCTCCTATGGACAAAGGCTGGGAAGCTCTAGCGCTTTTCCGAATGTTGCTTTTGTCTACCGGAGAATAAAGCTCTATATAAGTCGTACCAACCCCACAATCGAGACTGTCTCCTGTGCTCATAGTGGTATGTCTATGTATCCACAGCCACGAAATTGCGCGGGATCGCGGGTGATCCCCGTGGTAAGTGGATTACTGACCGCAGCATGAGATTCAATCCCTCCTACCGCGAGATATCATGGACCCAGATCGATGCCGCAAAATCTTGGCAATAATCCCGAAGATACGGAATGCTTCGCAGAGGTTATGACAGTACTTATGTCCTTGGGACCATAATAACAACAACGACCATCGTAATGTAGGTTGTTAGGCTGCCGGAGGAGCTCTACAGGGCTGTAGAAGGAGGTTTCTATGGAATTCCCCATCGTATGCCTTCCTCGTCATACTACTACTCCACACGCATCTTATAGTCCTAGAGAAAGCTCGATCCACGCCGCTGACCAAAATTGATTTATCCTCATCTTCAGCTCTCTCTCTTCTCCATTCTCAGGACTCGCTGCCGCCCCTACCTCTGAAATACAGACCCAGGAGCTTGCTCAAACTGAGTTCCAGGATCGGTTGAATCTTCGCGGAATCAAGGCCCCAGACTAGCGTAACTGAGGTCATCAGCCTAAGAATACACAAAGGTGTTATGCTAAGAAGCATCGGGAATGGCAGGTAAGGGACTGGCCGCCTTAGTTCCAGCTCGTTTAAGACGCTAAGGGATAATGCATTTTCTGCAAAAACCAAGGTTTTCGGGATAGTGAGCTAGTTACAGAGAAAAAGCTCGTCTAGACGACACTGCTGGCAAGGTTGGAGGTCAAAAGACCTCAAGCATCGAAAGCTTCAGGCTCATCCTATCTTCGTACGGCCGTGGATTCCGTCTTTAGTCATAATATGCTCCTTTGTGCAGAATCGCGCCGGCAGCTCCAGCATCCTGACTTATTTAATATCTCCTTGCCTAACAAGGGACCGACCTCTCGTTAGCCAATAATTATAATCATGAACAATGGAAAATCTGATCAGTTTGGCCGCTTACAGTATATGGGGTATACGCTTTTAGGACCTACACCTTTATACAATAAGCCAGGGGCTTTCTATCTCTTCCGTCACTGGCAAATAGTAGAAGTCATCGCCTCAGTTTCGGAGCAGACCATAGTGATATAATTTTCACTTCTCTAAGTGGGCAGATCTGAAGAAGCCAATCGCTGACGAGATCCAACAGAAATGGGCAAGTAAGGTCTGTAATGCGATTAATCTCGCCACTGACAAGAAGACACATGCCGGGTGATGTAATTGGTTAAAGCAGGCTGAAATCGAAGGCGTGGGAGAAAATCAGATCCCCCGTGCCCGTCAATGGAATAAAGATGCCTTACAGGGTGTCCGGATACTGGTGTCACCACTTAAACCAAGCTAGGCTGGATTTGGAATGAAATGAATAATGATTCTCCCGATCAGTACCGCATCCTGTACTAACATGTAATATTACATATAACATATATCCCCAGTAATTTCGGCTTTTGTCCCTTGGCCCGGAAATATCTGGACTAAGAATAAGTGGCAAGTTAGCCATATTTACGGAATTTTCTAGAAACCACTGGATAGGCCATATTTGTAAGGGCAAAAAATTGTACATAAATCTGAGCTATCCCGGGCCCTCCTTTTGTAAAGAGATTAGAAAACAAGAGACTTAAGTAATATTAATCTACGATGTGGAATCCTATAATGCAGACCCGCCCGTTCTTATACCCTAACGCAATTGTAGTGTCTTTGACCGTATGAGAATAAAATGAACGATACTCAGTAGGGAGCCACAGCAAATTCTCACCTCCTGAAGAGATCCAAGCATTCGATAGGCATACCTGTAAGTGAGAAGTAGGTTCATTCAGAACTACCTGGATCGAATCCGTATGGTCCTCGAGGGTCTGGCGCTCTGTGCCAGTTGTTGTATCCCAGAGCTTGATAGTATTGTCATGGGAGCCGGACACCAGAGTTCGCCCATCGGGTGAGAAGGCCACTGAATTGACTGAACTTGAATGGCCCTCAAGGGTCTGGTGCTCTGTGCCAGTAGTTATATCCCAGAGCTTGATAGTATTGTCACGCGAGCCTGACGCCAGGATGTGCCTATTGGGTGAGAAGGCCACTGAATTGACCCAATCTGTATGGCCCTTGAGGGTCTGGCACTCTATGCCAGTTGTTGTATCCCAGAGCTTGATAGTATTGTCACACGAGCCTGATGCCAGAGTGCGCCCATCAGGCGAGAAGGCCACTGAATAGACCCAATCTGAATGACCCTTAAGGGTCTGGCACTCTGTGCCAGTTATTGTATCCCAGAGCTTAATAGTATTGTCACCCGAGCCTGATGCCAGAGTGCACACATCGGGTGAGAAAGCCACTGATAACACTAAACCTAAATGGCCCTTGAGGGTCTGGCACTCTATGCCAGTTGTTGTATCCCAGAGCCTGATAGTATTGTCACCTGAGCCTGACGCCAGAGTACACCTATCGGGCGAGAAGGCCACTGATCTGACCCAATCTGAATGGCCCTCAAGGGTCTGGCGCTCTGTGCCAGTAGTTATATCCCAGAGCTTGATAGTATTGTCACCCAAGCCTGACGCCAGAGTACACCCATCGGGTGAGATGGCCACTGAATACACTGAACCCTCAAGGGTCTGGTACTCTGTGCCAGTTGTTATATCCCAGAGCTTGATAGTATCGTCACCCGAGCCTGACGCCAGAGTGCACCCATCGGGTGAGAAGGCCACTGAATACACTGAACCTGAATGGCCCT